ATTGACAAGTACAAATTTTATCATGGAGCAATAAAATTGGACTGTTAAAATGGTACATATGAAATAAATTGTTTTAGAAGATATTCTTTGTATTTGAGTTCTAACTTTATGTAGTTTGATTTAATATAGCTGAACTTGTGTTTATCACAAGAAATAAGCACTTTACTCAGTGTCCAGTCAACATATGAATAATCTGAGTTTAGGATAATGAAAATGAATTCCCAAAAATATAAAGGATAATTTGTTGGTTATTCATACAATACACAGTTGCCTACTTATAAAACGTATGAACATTGACAGAGAGATAAAGTGGCTTGGATCCATTCAGCCTATATCACAGAACTGTGATACAGTGTGCATCACAAAATATGAAATCTGCATCCCACCCAAAATGGTGAAATATCTCTAGAGAGCCCGTTTGTGAGGGAAAGTGTTGAGAAATTCCTGTCTGACTTGGAGCTAATCCAGAGGATCACTCTTGCCTGGACTTTCCTGAGGTACCTTTCGACAGGCAGAAACAGATTTTGGCTTTCACTTGAAGTCAGTATGGAGGATTTAGGCCAAACGGCCTGTTTCCTGCTCTATGACTCTACAACTCTTATGAAGAATAAAATGTATTAATGTCCTTGTGCCCACAAACATCAAACTTAATTTTTAGAACCTCTTCAAAGACCTGGAAATGAACACTCCCAAAAGTGAATAATTCACCAGAGGTTACAGCCATGTTATGGATGTGATTGGTTTCTAGTTCAGTGTTTTTAAAATTAGTATAAATGATCATAGAAATTTAATTTTCACTGAATGTAGCTTGCACTTGCAATACAGTGATCTTTTGAGTATTGTTTTGATTTTGGGTGAATTGTGTTGGGAAAACCAATGCACGCAAGTGGAAACTCTACCCCTCTGTATATAATAAATGGAACTGATACAAATGTAAAATCATTTTTTCTAAGAATGTGGAAACGTCTAGGTATTTTGAAACTCGTGACAAATGCTTTCAGCTGAATTCTCCTTAATTTCATCCACACCTCTTTGCAAGTTAGAGACATTTGTTCTGACTGGAAATGAAAATTAGCCCCATTCATTAAATTCAGAATCTGACTTCTAAATTGAGTTTTTGCCTTTCCTCAACCTAACTTGTACTCAGTACTCTGCCTGCACGTTTGTTTTACCAGTGCTACCCACTTTACTCACATTTACCCAGCCTGTGTACAATTGAATGCAATAGTTTACATACCTTTCAAACATAAATTTGGCCCTCAACCATCTGCCCTTGAAACTGCAGAACTCTGTGAGGTCTGGGGAAAATCTGAGTAATCTGGGACATGAATCATAAAAATGTTAGTATGCAGGTCCAGCGTGTGATTAGGTAGCATTGTGTTCCCAGTTATTACAAGGGAATGGATTATAAGAGTAAAGAAGTTTTGATACTGTTGTACTGGGCAATCATGAGACCACAGCTCGAATCCAGTGTACATATTTGGCATCCTTATTTAAGAAAGGACATAAATGCATTAGAAGGGGTTCAAAGAAAATTTGCTCAAATGATATCCCTCCAATCCCAGGTTATCTTATGAGGAAAATTCAGACAGACCTGACCTGAATAAAGTTTAGAAGAAGAAGTAATCTTATTGAAACACGGACAATCCTGAGGGGACTTGCTGGAGTAGATGACTGAATGGTCGTTTTGTCTGTAAAATCATAAAATCCCTAGAGTGTGGAAGCAGACCATTCAGCCCATTGAGTCCGCACTGACCATCTGAAGTGTAACCCACTGAGACCCACCACATCCCCGTAGCCCTGCATTTCCCATGGCCAGTCCACCTAACCTGCACATCTTTGGCCTGTGGGAGGAAACCAGAACATTCGAAGGAAACCCACACAGACATGGGAGAACATCAAACTCCACAAAGACTGCCACCTGAGGCTGGAATCAAACCCAAGTCCCTGTTGCTGTGAGACAGCAGTGCTAACCAGTGAGGCACCATGCAGATGCAAGAATGAGGGGACACAATTCAAAAAAAGAGTCTCCCATTCAAACTAGAGGGGAGGAGACTCTTTTTTTCCCTCAGAGTCATGAATCCTTTGGCAGTCTCTTCCCCTGGAGACTGGTAGGAATAGGGTCATTTGATATTTTGAAAGCACAGATATATAACCTTTGACTCCCTTGTTAGTCAATAATCTATTGGGGCTAAGTGGATTCAGGGCCACAGTCAGATCAGCCATGATCTAATCGAATAGTAGAGGAGGTTCAAGAGGCCAAACTGGTCTCCTTCTGCTTCCAATTTGTATATTCAAATGTATGTCCTGACTTCAGAGAGGTATTAAAGAGCTGTTGTAAAGCTGTAAAATGGATAGTAGTTTAGCATGGTGTGTCAAACCAGATTAGCAGACTGGGCCCACAGGGAAGGATCTGGAACTATTGGAAGATGTAGCCAAGATTTTAGATCCTGTTCTAAGGAAGACTAACTCTATCAAATAACAATCACTACAAATGAAGTTAGAATTAGAGATTGTTGTTATGAGCCACATATTTGAAGAAGTTGGGGCTCTTTTGTTTTTGTAATATTAAGCTGTTCTGCATGTAAATGGAACACCAGAGAGTCTGTAATATTTTACGTCAGAATGAAATAATTTGTAGAGTGCTTCTATGTTCTTTTTGGGTGCCAGATAAATGCAAATCTTAGTAAAATGTTGCTATTTATGGTTATGCATGTTACAGGGATAGACCACTGCTGTATGTTCATTAGCCTGCAAGATCTGGGGAGGAATGAATCATGCTTGTAAAAACGATCCAGCAATAAATATCAATAATGACAATGAATATCCTCTTTCATACTGGAGGTAGTATGTCTTACTAAAGAAGCTACCTTGGATCTAATGGGCCAAATTTCCCTCCTGCCACTAATACTCTAGTATTGGTTGGAATTTTGTGTTAGTTTCAAAGGTCAGGGGTCATTAAGCTTTTGAGACATGTTCCACTCAAGATTCCCATTAGGAAAGAATGTCTGCTAATAGCAGCCATGAACAACATTTAGGAGTGCTAGCAATAACACTATTGCTGCAGTGTCCATAAGGGGTGGGAACTATATTAAAGGAGATGAGCTCCAAAAAGTCTGCATCAAATTTCACTGAAGGTAACAACTGTTAAGTGCTTGGGAATTCATTTGGATGGAGGAGAGCTGCTGAAACACAATGTCTCTCCATTTCCCTTCATCCGCTCCTTCAATATCCCAGAAACTACTGCCAGGCTTCACTTGACTCTTCTGGCAAGTGGATAGACAGGCAGGGGAAAATAAAACCCTGAAATTCAGATTATAACTTTGCGAGCAGAAGACGAGGAAGGAGTGGCTGGTAAAAGGGAGAAAAATGCAGATTAGGGATGAGAGGAATGCCTAGGACAGAAGTCTTGAGGGTAAAATAAAGCAGAATTACATTTTTTTTCCGCACCTTCTTTGAGTTACAAAATCATTTGAAGTGACGAAGAAGGATGATAGTCAAGAATCATGCCTTCAGGCAATGACCAGTCTTTATGCCATGGGAGAGGGCATTTTGGATGACCAATGGCATGAGCGTGGGCTGCGATGGCAGGTCATGTAATGAAACCTCCAGGATTGTGTCCAAACAGAGTTAGCAACCACAGGATGGAATAGTGATGTGACCTCCTTTTTCCTGTTCCTCTAATATACAACGTATTCAGATAAAATTCAGCATTAAATACCATTTGGAGAAGTGTATGTTCCTAGTGGAACTTCAATGAGAAAATCAGTGTGGTGAACATTAACTGAACAGAGTACTAATCCTAACGATGTTAATTTTGCATAAAGCCATCTAGTTCTTCTTTATTAATATAAAAATGTACCAAAATTGAAAATTAGGCACCCATGGAGGGAACACCCGAAGTTCCTTTGAGTTATATCAACCAACTATCCCAGATTTGCAGAAGTATTTGCATATATAAAACACCTCTACTGTGTTCAAGCATCTTGTGTTTCACAGAAATGTTACCTGACAAAGTTTGACATTGAAACGTAAAGATCTAGAAGGATGGCTGACGGAAAGCTGGTCAAAGAACCTTTTTTTTTCAGAAAGTCTTAAAGTAAAAGGGTTTAGGGTGGGAATTCCAAAGCGTAGGCCTGAAGGTGCAACTGATATTGAATGAAGCAAATTGGGCATGCACAAAAACCAGGAATTGTTGGAATGCAGACTCCTTGATGGGTTGTAGGACTGGAGTAGATTACAGAGACTCAAGGCTTTCAAAAGATTTGACCACAAAGATGAGAAATTTTTGTATGAGATGTTACTGAATTAGGAGCCAATGTAGATTATCTGCATTATGCACAGAACAACATACAATTGGGGTTTTAACTGAAACTCATGTAAAGGATGAGAATGTAAATGTGGATAATAGTGTAAAATTAATATACAACTTTTCATAAAACATTGAAAATTATAATATTGTTGCACTAGAGTTGTTCATTGTTTGCCTGAATGTGTAAACTTGTAATCTTTAAAAGAGAATATTAATGGGATGTAGATGTTGCTGGTTACACAGTAGATTATCAGTACAGTGACATCAACATACATCATCACCTCTATAATGTTTAATTTACAAAAATATTGTGGGCTGGGAATGGTGTGGTAGGAAATTTTGTCTGCTTTTATCCAGGTGTGACAATCCCTTTCTTATAACTGCAGGTTTTGTTTACTACTGCTCAATTCTCAAACATTTTGACTCTGACCATTTAAAAGGGTGAAATACTGTACAATAAATGAGTCAAAATTCCATTTTAACACTGAGCCTTTTGTTAGTAAACCCAACAGAAGATGAGTTCCTGAAATTTATAAACAAATAACTAAACACAAGGGCTTTTGTTCAGTTTCACTTTAGGTTAGTGTGGGAGACATTCATTTATGTGATCCATATAAATGAGATGAGTGTTTCGCTAATGAAATCAATCACATCACAATTACTATTAAAATGTTCTGTACTAGGGCTCAATCATTATAGGTCCTTTCACCTCTTTGTTTATTGGCCTGGATTGGTAATACAGCAAGCACATCCTTTCTTTTTAGTGTCATGGGCTACATATAAACTTTGATCACGACAGCTTGCACTAGACAGTTTAACAGACCTTGATCTTTAAAGAGTCTAATTACCAGCCACATCCATACAATTTAAAAATAAAAAATAGAATCATTACAATTTGGAGGCTGATATCATCAACATTGTGTACTGAGGATGGCTCTACACTGTAGTAATTAACAGGAATAAAAATATTTAAAGTTTTACTTTTAGCACTGACGTTACAATCAATCACAAAACTTAACCTCCTACAGTACAACACAAATGATTCCAACATACAAAAATATAACCAGAAAGTGCTGAAGAAACTCAGCAGATCTGACAGCATCTGTAGAGAGAAAAACAGAGTTAATGCTTTGACTCAAATAGGACTCTTCTTCGGAACCCAGCATTTTGCGTTTTTATGTCAGGTCTCCAGCGACCACCGTGTTTTGTTTTTATACCAAAAATATATAATCTGTAGCTAATCAGAATGAGAAATCATTTAAGTCACAGAAATAGGGATAACTTGCAAAATCATTTGAGCAACAGGTCTGAACATTTCCCATATAGTGTGTGGTCACATGCCACCTGCAAGGTTTATAAATAAAGAATACAATCTTGATTGGTCTATATGCTAAACTCATAGGAAAAAAGGAGCAGAAACTGAATTATTGCTGAGGTCTGCATTAGATGACTCTCGGGTGAAGAATCCACAGAGTTGTAGTGTCCTCTCCAATAGAAGCACATGCTTTGTGAAATTTTGCAATTGGCATTAATTTCTGTCCTTATTGGGAAAATTATTCTCATAGCTATTTTTGTAATGCAGCCAAAACAGCTGCTTTGTTCTTTTAAAATTATATCTTAACATTACATAACATTAATATTTTTCACAGTTTACATATTTTGAATTTCCCCACTATTCCTTAAAAATGTTGAAGGCTGCTTTGAGTTCTGTCACATTTTGAGCTTCTTTCTTTCAGATGGAGAGATATATTTTTCTAGGAAAGGCATCCCAGGAGCCAATCACTGGACTGATGCTGTAATACATTCGCACACTGCAGCCCAAGCTGTGTGCCTGTAGCTGGGTGTGTAGGTCATTGCCGCACATACTCAAGCTCAGCTGCATGCCAAATTCCAATCTTTCCTCTCATGCAAACAGCCTCAAAGTGATACTGACCCAAACTGACGACTCAATTCTCTTTCCTAAGAAAAAGCATTTGGACTTTCTTTTCACCTAGAGAGTGGGGAGAGTGGAATTCACCACCTGCATGGATGCTAGAGGCAGAAATACTTATCACATTTAAAAAAACAAAACTCAGAAAATGCAGTCGAGGTGCTGGAACCTATAGGACTATTGACCAGGCACTGAGAATCTTTTTCAGTTGCCAAGGTCACTATGTGCCAACAGCTTCCTTCTGTGCCACAAATCTTTCCATGTTTCAAACGAGCTTTTGATTCTGAGCAATGCAGCATGAAATCAACTAGTGATTAAACAAAGAACAAGTAATATTTAGAACAAAAGTATTGCAATCATGATCAGCGATCTTATGAAGCATTTTCACAGTAGGCTGCTAGCTCAATAATTGGCCAAATAGCCTTCTCCCATGCTGTAAATGTTCTATACTTCCATGTTTAAAGACTTGTGTTTACTTGGATACAACTGCTATTCATTAGACATCTGACCAATGGAAGCAAATCATCCTGTGTTCTTATCAGAAACATTTTGTCGCCTGTCCAGCTTTAGTTCATTCAATATTTTCTGTTTAAAACAAAAACAGATAACATGTCATTTTCACATTGTGAAATTATATGCACCAATTCCTAGTCGATACAATAAAAACTCGACTGAAAGATTTACCACTGAGTACTCTCCTCTGATACCCAAGGACTAAAATATTTTTTCTGGAAATCACATCCAGGCTCCATTTAAACACATAACTCCATGATGAAAGATTCACTTAAGCTCTTAAACTGCAAACAAATTCAATGAATTCACAAAATGGTGTCTAGCTAGTATGGTTTATTTCATTTTTTATTTGGTGTTAAGTTTTGCAGTTTAGCTTTTCTAAAACATTACAAATCAGTGATACAATGGATTTAGTGGTACTGGATAATTATTTAAATTAGTAAATTTAAATCTGAAATACAAGAATAGAATTAAATAAGAATACTTGTTCACCCTCTCCTAACTGACTATGGTTTAAAATTAAAAATGGTCAAAGGCCTATATATACAGCTGTTGTGAATCAGCTGGTAGGGTCAGATTGTGCATCAGATGCGATATATCAATTTCACTTTTCTAAGAATATCTCAATACTGCTGTTCACTGCTACAGTACAACCCCTTTGAGAGAGGAAGGTCATCAAATCAAGCACTTAACAAAGCAAGGCACTTAAATGAGAGCGATCCTCAAAGATTCAATCTATTTTGTATTGAGGGTTAATTCAAACACTTGCTGCTTGTTAAGAAACTTTGGATCTGAAAACGTGTTACCAAAAGCTGTTATGGTGCACTGGTAATGTCCCTACGTCTGAGCCAGGAGACACAGGTTCAGGTTCCTCCTGCTCCAGAGGTGTGTATTAACATCTCAACAGGCAGATGAGATAATATCCCTCTGAAAACTTGCTAACTGTTGATAATGAGCCAGCCTGGCACTGGAGTTTCTCAGATCAGGAAGTCTGGGAACACAAATATCAATGTCAATGAGTGCAACTTTAGCAACCAGTAGAGGGCAGCAGAATAAACATACTCCGAGGAAGTACTTTCCATACAAAGTCGACAAGATTGCCCACAAATTCTGGTGTTATCCAGCAGCCATCCTTAATTGAAGACTGATTTCAATACAAATGTTTTCAACTTTCACAAGTCGAGAATAAGACCATAAAATCTGCTTCAATTAATTTTGCCAGCATTTTATACAGTGAATGTACAAGGAAGTGCACTGGGCAGGAAACGTGGTAGGTGATGCCATCCACCCTTTATCTAACATACTCTGATCACCATGGAACTTCACCATGCCTCTGGGAGAATGTCCTGTTAGTGGCCTTTACACAAGCATCCAGCATTAGCAAGCCTTCTAGTAAACTGTCAGACTTTTGTCTGCATCCTGGCCATAACAGAATCCGAGGTTCTTAAATCATTGAAATTAGTAAGTAGCTGGGCCAATTTTCCAAACATTTTTCTCTGACAATTAAAAAGATGTTGAAAAGGTCTCTTCCAAATTCTGTGCTTATCAGAGGCAGAGAAGTTGATATTGGGAAGTGGATCATTAGCTGTTTCATGCATCAAGTATTTCCAATTCAGATATTGGACAGTTGGATGCTAAATTAAGCTCTTTCTGCACTTTATCAATAATATGCTGTGGGCCTAAAGATGACAAGCTGCATTTCTTAGAGTGGTGGTTGGTGATGAAGAGAATTAATTGATAAAAACATGTTTAAAGACACTGCATAAAGCGTTTTGTTCAAGTCCCCTAAGGCTGAAAGAAGTAAGACACCCAAGTTTGATACTAATGCTTTTGTACTGCAGAACCAACTAACTTATGAAAACCTGCAACTACACTGGAAGAATTAAAAGGGGTAATTAGTCACAGAGGTTGAGTTCTGCCCAAAAAAAAACAGAAAAACAAAAATTGCAAAACTGGAGTAACAATACCTAGAGATATAATACAAAGGGCAGTGAAGCAGAGAGGCAAGAAAAATAGGGATTTCCAAGAAAGGGAATTCTAGAAAATGGAAAATGAAAGTGAGTTTAAATTGAAACAATAGAGTTGATAAGGAGGCTGAAGGCAACTCTGGGGAAGAAAACCACACCCAACTCCAACTTAAGGTCTGGAGTATTCATAAGATCAAAAGATAAATGGCTTAAGCAGCTCACTTTTGACCAGTGGGTAAGGGCATTTAAAACTGAGGACACCTACCCAAATGTTTGAGAGGCAATTCTCAAGAAATTCAAAACCTCGACACTGTTTTGCATCCAGATGCATATAGAGGAACAGAGGGTAACAGTACCCAGACTGACAACCATCTAACAAATTTGACTTAACACACAAACACAAAGTAATTAAAACTGTGACCTGGTGGATGTCACAAACTAGAGAAAGATAAGCCTGAGGTAATTACCATGGCAACATGAAGACGAGAAGGAAGTCAGGCAGAAAAAAAACAGAATAGTCCTCAACTGTCAAAAGGAGATATCAGGACAGGAGACATTAAAAATCACATCAAGTGCTCCCACAACAAGATACCAGCACACACCATGGACAGTTGTTGGTTTTGGTATTCCACAGAAATGCAGGCTGCAAAAACAGCATCATTAAAGGTGGCAGAATGAGCAACCAGGACAGTGGGCAGGATTCTGTGCTCAAAAGGAACAGTGACTGGTTCAAACCGCAAAAGAGAGAAATCAGCATTCTCGATATCCCAGGATCCCGCTAGTGGGGAAAATAAATGGTTTTCCATCTGAAATGAAAAATTAAATTCCAATATGCTGATAAAAGGGTTCATGACAAAGAGTATAGAGTTGCCACTGGTTGGAGTTTATTAGAGAGTGAACTTGTCACAGGTAATATGTGTAAAGAGGAGGGGCTGACCTGAGCTTGCCAATGCCAGGAATAGATAGCAGGTAGCAAAATACACCCTCTAAACAGAAAAGGCCAACTGAGAGAGACCGGAAAGGCTTTAGAAATCTGGGAGCGACTGGCAGAAAGGGCAGGTAGTGAAAGAGGTTTGCACAGGGGACAGTAAAACCCATGAGGTTTGGAGTGCCTCAGGGAGGGTCTGTTGAATTAAACACGGCTGAGGGTTAGCCAACAGGCATAAAATAAAGCAAGAAAGGGCCAGGGAAGATGACAAAATAAAATGAAAGGACAGAGATTTGTTTAACAGATACCTTTATGCTAAAATTAAAGAATGACCAATGTACTTCTCAGGTCAAGACAAAGGGAAGGGGAAGCCTCACTTAGTGGGTAGAGCTGCAGGGAAGTATAGTAGAAGCTGAATATCCATTTGATGGTGGTAATGTTCCGAGGAAAGAAGAACAGGTTCGAGGAAAACACATTCTCAAAGAAAAACGGGAAAGGGGAACCACAGCAGATACTGCTGGTAGAAGCCACCAGGTGTGTGCCAGTGCGTTAAACACAGAATTAACCAGTAGGAGATCAGAGGTACAGAACCAAGTTTCAAACCTCAACTAGTTCAATCAGGTTGGTGTAAAGTTAAATAAAGTGAGGAGCAAGTCCAGGCATCCTACAGGAGGCTAATCTCAGATTATCACTGATCTCCTAGAGATCAAACTGGTAAAAATCCCTAAAACCAATAAATGGATAGTGAGAATTTAAAACTTGGGAAGATGTCACAGTCTAGGGAACAACTGCGTTGGTTAGTCAAAAAGCCAGCCTGTGAACCCTGGTAAGTATGAAGAGATTGAATGCAGAAGATGTGTGTTGTTGCAGCTTTTGTATTGGCATTTCATAATGACTGTGTAATAATCATTCACTGTAAACAAAATGGAGATATATGGTTAGTGTTGTTCTTTATGGTGGAGAGGGATGACAATTGTCATACTATTTGACTCTAACTTCTCACTTAACCCATCAAGACAATGGAGTTAGAATACACACTGAACTACACTTCAACAGTCACTTCAACGCAGAGCAGAGAGAAGGAAAAATGAACTTGTGAAACCAACACCTGAATTTTCTCTCTCCTTGCCTATATCTCTCATTATCTCAGGAAACAACACTCAGTAAGAAAGCAAATTGGGGAAACAACCATTTACCGAAAACTTAAAATATCTATAGATTCCACTCTGACTGAAGACATAAAATACATTAAAGTACAAGGTGCATGACATCAAATCAAAAAGAAACTTCAAGGATGCTAAGGAGTGTTTAACTGTGTGACCATTATTTTTGCTGTCTCTATCAGGCACTCTCCCCTTTCAACATATCACTTGTGTTTGATGTGGTGTTTTCATTTTTTTTTCTGGAATTGACTAGTGAATAATAAAATTCTTCACTCTTTCAATCAAGAAAACTATCATACTTGGCTATTTCATTCGCTAGCAAACCATGTTTTCATTGAAGAGTGATAGCTGCATTCTGAAAAGATAATAAAAATATTTGCTGTGACTGATTCTGAAAAGGGGTCCCTTCCCACTCCTCAACTGGTTGTAACAAAAACGTAAACACAAAAGTGAACCAGCAAAAAATACAGATGAGCAGGAACATTGAGAGATGCAGCCATGTACATAACTTTGATATCCATCACTGGTACAGAATTGTCCAGTTCAATTTTAGCAATGAAATAAATTACTAAATAACATTTTGATAGCCAAATGCATTCCATTGTACCCATAAGTTAATTTTATTCTTTGAGAACTTACAACTCTTAGTCTTTGTGTAAAGTATTCTTCTTGTTCAGTCACATGTTGGTTAGGGATAGCTACACCCCAGCGTTGTAGTTCGATTAACATTTCCTCCTTGCTGTATAGTACAACTGGGTCCAAAGAATTTTTATTAATGAGTTCCACCAAAGCCTGTATAAAATGGATTCTGAAATAAAGATGAGAGAGTAGTGTCAAAAAGTTTTGGACTTTTATTTACTTTTAATTCCCCCACTTAAAGTGCAGTTTTAAACTTAAATTTGAATACAATACTTTGTTAAAATAAAAATATCCCATGTGAACGGCAATGAAAAACTTGGTCAGTTATATGCCAGTTAGATATCAGCTAAAGAGGGTAAAATCTGTTATTTTAATAATTAATTGTAAATGCTAAATGTTTGCAAGAATCCTTTGAATTTGAAAACTTGATATGATGTAACACTGACTATGGGCAACAGCAGCAATATAAAACATCCATGCTATACAAGGTAAAAGGTTGTTACTCAGCATAACAGAAGTTATTCAGGAAGAAACCAAATAAATACTTGAGACAAAGGTTTAGGTTTTTTTAAATTAATTGGGAACAAGAGACTAGATAAACTAATGACAACAAAGTATTTCGGAATAAAAGGATATAATGAATGAAAGATATCACACCATTTGTTTACTGATTGGATTGATAGGCTGGAAAAGATTAGATAGGCAGAGGAGAGATCATGGAAGGCTTTGAAAGCAAGGATTGAAATATTGCTTGACCGGGAGTTAATACGTATCAGCGAACATGTGTGATAGATGAATGGGAATAGGTTTGAACAAGGACGTGGACACTAAATTGGTAACTTCAAGTTCACTGAAGATCAAATGTGAGACAGTTGTCAGACAAACGCTACAATATCTAGGGGTAACAGACATGTATGAGGATGTTAGCAGCAGATAGAGTCATAGTCATACAGCATGGAAACAGACCCTTCGGTCCAACCAGTCCATGTTGACCATGGTCCCAAACTAAACTAAACTGCCCGTGCTCAGCCCGTATCCCTCCAAACATTTCTTATTCACGTACTTATCCAAATGTCTTTTGAATGTTGTAATTGTACTTGCATCCACCACTTCCTCTGGAAGTTCATTCCAGACATGAACAACTCTCTGTGTAAATAAGTTGCCCCTCATGTCCTTTTTAAATCTTTCTCCTCTCACCTTGAAAAATATGCTCCCAAGTCTTGAAAGCCCCCACCTTAGGGCAAAGACATCTGCCATTCAACTTCTCTATAACCCACATAATTTTATACATCTCTATAAGGTCACCCCCTAATCTTCTATGCTCCAGTGAAAAAAAGTCCCAGTCTATCCAGCCTCTCGCAAACCTTCCATTCCTGGCAACATCCTGGACCATTTTCTGAACCCTCTCCAGCTTAATAATATCTTTCCTATAACTGAGCAATCAGAACTGTACACAATACTCCAGAACAGGCCTCACCAACATCCGGTACAACCTCAACATGACATCTCACTCGTATACTCAAAGGTGTGAGCATGCTAAATGTCTTCTTAACCACCCTATTGACATGTGATGCAAACTTCAAAGAATAATGAAGGTGAACCCCTAGGTCTCTCTGTTCTTCAACACTATGCCAGGCCCTGTTTACAATTGTACAAGTCCTGCCCTTGTTTGTTTTACCAAAATCCAATATTTCGCATTTATCCAAATTAAACTCCATCTGCCACTCCTCAGCCTGTTGACTCAATTGATTAAGATCTCTTTTAATCTTAAATAACCTTCTTCACTGTCCACTATACAATCAATTTTGGTGTCATCCACAAACATACTAACCATGCCTTCTATATTTTCATCTAAATATTTACATAAATGACAAACAAAAGTGGCCCAGCACTGATCCCTGTGGAACAGATGATTTGAAGCAGAGGCAAAGTTGGTGAGCAGTGATTATGGAGGTGGTAATAGATGGTAGTTTTTAATGGTAGTTAAGAATTGGAGGCTTATTCTTGGAGTGAAATACAACATCAATTTCGTGAAAAATCTGGTTGACTCTCAGACTGTTAGTAGAGACAGTGCTGGAATCTGTCACTGGAGGGAATAGAAGCCGAAGAAAAAGATTTCAGTCTTCCTAATATTCAATTGGAAAAAAATTCTATTTATGTAGCTTCAGAAATCACACAAGCAACCTAATAATATTGCAATATGAGAGGAATTGAAAGAGGTGGTGGTGAAGTAGAGCTGTCATCAGCATACCCAAAATGGAGAACCTCATTCTTCTCAGAAAATATTCCAAGTGCGCACTCACCCAATCTCTCTACATCTCTTTGCAGGCACTTTGCAACCTCCTCCAAATTTGTTTTCCCAACTAACTTGGTATTGGCATCAAACCTGGACTGATTACATTTGCTCCCTCTTTTCTTCTAAGTTACAGGTGATAGATATAGGTATAGTATAATATAGATTACAACTAACTAAGGCAGTGGTCCTTCTGTTACCCTAGTAGATACAGCTTCCAACTCCAAAATGATTTAATTCCTTCAGTTTTCGGTTCACGAAACAATCCATGTTATTTTCCCAAACCCTGTAGGTCCTGTTTTTCCATAATAACCTCTTGCAATATACCTTAGAGTGAATTTTGAAAATGCAAATATACCACACTTAAAGTTCTGCCTTATTTACCCTTTGAGGTACTACTTAAAGACAGATGTGTGAAATTTTTATTTATTTATTTGTGGGGTGCAGGCATCACTGGTTGATCAGCATTTATTGCATATTCTGAATTGCTTTTCATAAAATTTGTCTTTACTTTTTGTTTATTATGACTTCTGTCATTAATATAGGCCCCGTGCTAGGTGAATTATGAAACTTTTCACAGTATCTTTTGTGTAAAATTACTTGTGATACTAAATTTCTATTCTGTAAGATGCAGGCATCATTTGCAAAGCCAGCATTTGTCGTCCATTTCTAGTTGCCCTTGAACTGATTAACTGATGGGCCATTTCAGTTAAGAATCAACAATATTTCTATGGGCCTGAGTCACGTATAGGCCAGACAAGGCAGGGAAGGCAGATTTTTGACCCTAAAGAACATTACTGAACCACATGGGTATTTATAGCAATTGACAATGATTACATGATGCCACTAAATTAGCTTTTAATTCCAGAATTTACTGAATGCAAATTTCACACTGACCACAGGGGGTTTGACCCCATGACCCCAACAGAATTAACCAGCCATTCTGAATCGTCAGCCCAGTAACATTCCCATAATTGACCCTCCAGAAGATGATGATGAGCTGCCTTCTTAAACTGCTGCAGTTCATGCCAGAAGTACACCCACTTTGTTGCTGGGAAGAGAGTTCCAGGAAGTTGGCTCAGCAAAAGTGAAGGAATGGTGATATAGCTCCTAAGTCAGAATGATGTGCTTCCATGCTTCTGTTGCACTTACCTTTCTAGGTGATAGAGGTCAGAGCACTAGAACGTGCTGTTGAAGAAGTCTTGGTGATTTGTTTCAGTACATCCTGTGGACAATACATACTGCTGCCATTGTCAATATTGGAGGAGTTGAACGTTAAAGTGTTAAATAGGGTGCAATCAAGCAATGGTAATGCCATTGAAAGTCAGGGGGCAATGGTTGGATTCTCTATTGTTGAAGATGGTCATTGGCTGGCTTACTCGTGATTTGTCAGCCAAACCTGGATATTGTCGAGCTGCAACTGCATGTGGAGACAAAAAGAGTCGGAAAGAACATTATGCAATTGTCAGGGGACATCCCACTTCCGACCTTTGCAAGAGGAAAGGTCACCGATGAAGCAGCTGAAGATGCTTGGACCTGAGGCACCTCTGCAGAGGTGTCCTGGGGTTCGGATAATTGACATCCGACAACCACAACCACTTTCCTTCGAGCCAGGTTCAAAACTAACCAGTGGTGAGTTTTCACCCGAACTCATGTTGACTCCAGTTTTGCTAGGGCTCTTGGATGCCACACTTGGTCAAATGTTGCCTTGATGTCAACAGCAGTTCCTCTCATCTCACCTCTGGAATTCAGCTTTTGTCCATGTTTGAACCAAGGTTGTAATGGAGTCAGAGGCTGAGTGGCCCTCGCTGAGTCCAAACCCAGCATCAGTGAGCAAGTTATTTCTTTGAAAGTGTTGCTTGAAGCAGCTGTCAATGACCATTTTTATTACTTTGCTGATGACTGAGAGTTGATTGATGGATGATAATTGGCAAAATTAGATTATTCTTGCTTTCTGTAGATAGGACTTACCTGGGCTATGTTCCACAATTTCCCTTTCATAAATCCATGACGCCACTGTCTAATCATATTATGATTTTCTGGGTGTTCTATCACCACATTCTTTTATTTTTCCCCACTATTGATGTAAAAGGGAAGATAAAGTGAGTCAAAAGTATACTTCCATAATATTCGATAAGTGGAAGGTGCCATTAAATACAAACGTAACAAAATGGAGTAAAAAGTTCCCAGTCTTCAGAACATTGTGCCTACACAGTATTAATTTTAGCCTGAGCAGCCAGCGTGTCTTCTTACTGCTGGAAAGAAATAGCTTTAGTTTGTTGACAAAGTGGCACCCTCAAGATTGCGTATGACAGAAAGTTGGGTGGGATAGGAAGAGCCTTCAACTTCATATTGTCCGTGGACAGGTAAAGTCAAATGTTATCAGTAAAAAGGTGAAAGCTGACTTCCTGCTTGTGAATGATCTCACTGAGGCGTTGTTTGTAACTTGAAAATTTGAGGGGAATAAGGGTAAAGTTCTGGGCACTCAGGCAATGAATTAGAACAAAACCCAGTTGTTGGATTGGAATGCTCATAGGTATAGTGAGAAAATTAGCTGTCCCTATCAAAATTCAACATCAAGCTGCCTAGTAAGGCACAGAGACGAACCTCATAATTTACAATGACACTCAATCTGGGTACATGTAAATAAAGTGAAGTCAGCTCAGTAGCAGTCTCTTACCTCTGAATAAGATAGACTTGGGTTCAAGTCTACTCTGGAGATAAACACATAAGCTGACATTTCAATGCAGAACTGAAGGACAGCTGCACTGTCAAAAAGCATAATCATTTGGATGTAAAATTAAACTGAGTCCTCATCCATCTTCTCAGATGGAAATAACAGATCTCAGGAACTATTCCTTCAGGATTCACAAACAATTTTTATCCTTCTGACAACATCAGAAAAACTGATTACTCTAATTGCTATGGATTGCTGTTAGCACCATGTATTGTCAGCTCTCCCCATAGTTTATTACAATAAGCAGGGTTCAATAATACAGCAACTTTGATACAAATTAAGCATAATACATAGAAATAAAAATGTATATCACCTCTGGGACTGACTGGGGTGATTGCTAGATATTAGTATCACCACAAATGAAGTAACACTAACCCTTTAAGTTTTAAGAAAATTGGAATTATGATAGTTGCCTCAGATAAATGCCATCCTTAACATTCTCAAACTCAGGGCAATGATAATCAAGATTATTATTTCACTTACTTGCAGAAGCCCAAGTAACCTTTAACTGAAGGGTGTCCACACTGTTCATCTTTCAGACCTTGTGAAGTGTCTCTTTGCTCTATGACTTTACATTTACCTAAAGTAGCACAGTGTATATTTTGGTGAACAAAACTTTGCAATCCATTGCTGAAGATTACCTTTTCTAATATTTAAAGTTTATTTATTAAACTGGATAAAATTCTATTGAATGTTCCTATTAGACGCAACATAAAAGCAAATAAGGTTTTTACTTTCACACAACATTAATTTGGTATTGTGACTGCTTCCCATAAATCCGCATAATTACTGAGTCATTCCTTATATGTGAATCAAAATGACTAGGATGATCTTTACAGCAACAATATCTGCAAAGAGTTACTTGGTAATATAGAACTGGAGTGAAAGACAAAAACATTTTAAAAATGTCTTTTTTTCAGCAATATTCAATTGTATATTGGTTATTTGGCAAATGTCAAGGGAGTGAGAATGATACTTAATGAGAAGTTATGACTTAAGAAAATAGGCAAGTTTCTAGTTCATTCCACAGTCAGAGTACCAATCAGAGTCGACTTGCTTGATGTTAATTTAAACAATGCCTGGCAGTTAACTCTAACTCATCAACAACTGGGGCATTATTCATGGAATACTTCTACCAATTAGTATATCTTGTCATACAGTATAATATATCCTTCCTCCTTACACTGATGTTCTCACGTATGTACTGACTTAAGTAGAGTGCAAGACGAAAAACTTCAACAAAATGTGTCTTTTTTCAGGAATATGTGTATAGTTGGGTCAATCTGCTAATTGTTGAGGTGTAATTTCACAACAATTACAAAGTGAATTTTTCTTTCTCCACAGCTCTGCAGTTTTATAAAAATCTTGATGAGCAAATACTGAGGCTGGCAAGAATGATTCAAATTAATCAGTTCACTTTGGTCAACAGCACAATTCATTAAAAGTAGTGGATGTATGGATACATAGATATAAAATACAAGATGTTCTTTGCTAAAGTAAATATGAGCAGAACCATAACTGAGCTACTCAAAGGACACCCAAGATTAAGTCACAAATATTCATACAAGCTATATTTTATGCAATATATTATCCCCATTTTTGGAAGATAATAATTATTACCTTTCATCTGTTCTAGACTGTTATCAGTTACAATGGCAGTCAAGGAAATACCTGCTGTCTGTACAAAAGGAAATCATATGTCAATAATGTGCTGAAACCAAAAGCCAATCGATTTTACATTCAGTAAATTATAATGGCTAAGATTTTGCAGAGGGTTTTGATGGTAAGCCGTCCTTATTCATGGTCAACACTCGTCTGAAACTGACTGCTACATCAGGGTTTAATATAAAATTAACACTTTAATCTTAAAGTTGCAGTCTATTGTTCACTGCTTCACCACAGGCTACCTGTGGAACTGCCCCATCCAGATTTATCAATTATTGAATTCAAGTGAAATGGTGAGAATGTCCCTTGTTCCCGTTTAAATTGCTATTAGAAACCCCATTAAAATGTTACACATCGGCCCAGACTTTTTAAAAAAAAATATATTGAATATTATCTCCATTGTAATTAATGACTCAAATTTTAAAACTGATTTTAAAAGGTTTTTCATGCTACTTCAGCTTTTACTTCATCCCAACATTTATTTTGACACGTGTAAATGTGTTTTAAAAGTGACTTAATTTTAATTTCTTAGTTGCTGCCTGTTAGAATTCTATGATGTGATTGTCTACATTGAAGGTTTGATGACATGACTGCAGCTCTACAATATGGTTCCCAATATTTCATACAACAATTCAGTCACTGCATGGTGAGGTCATATTCTTGCCATAGAAAATGCTACTTCTCTCAGCAAAGCTATTAATGAACACCCTTGGGGATGCCTCAATATAATTGTAAATGAGCAGCCTTCACTATAAAACTGGCTGTGTTTTAAAAAAATTGTTGACCTATTCAAATACTGCCCCATGAAATAACTTCTCCCTTTAACAAATCTTCCACCATGGTTCTGTCTGCAAGAGGCACAAAATAAAACCTTCCTCAATCAGCAGCAGAACTGGCATGATTCATGGGCTAATTATTGCTCTTATCAGTTAAGGATTTTGTCCATGTCAGCCACCATAAGTAGAAGTGGAAGGAGTTTCGAACTGCTGTGGAGCTTAGAAACCAATGAACAGGTTATATTGGAACCCTTCCATCTGCAATGATGTTCCTTCTTGTTGAATTACTTGACATATATTTAATAAAATACTCTAGGAAGAACAGAAATCAAGATATTAGGTATGACTCACATTCAATAGCTGCTGCAGCCGTTCCACATTCCAGTCTCTGAGGTGATAGAAACAGTCCCGGGGATGATGTGCATGCAAACCCTTAGTGTGGCAGTTACTCATGAATCCACAAGCCTGTTGTAATCAATACATTTAAAATAATGTTTGCATAATATAAAGCAACTTGTTACTATTATCTAGCCTTGGTTATTAGTGAATTACACATAGGAATATAGCACATAGACACAATGAAACCAGGAGCAATCCCTTGAACCTGTTCTGCCATTCAACGGCTGATCTGTAATCTTGTCTTGTCTAAGCATACAAGATTCTTAGGAAAGTTGACAGGGTAGATGTGGGAAGTTTGTTTCCCTTTGTGGGAGAGTCTAGGACGAGACAGCATAATCTCAGACTAAGGGATCAACCTAAGACAAAGATGAAAAGGATTTTTTTTCTCTCAGAAGGTAGTCAGTCAATGGAATTCATGACCATAAACTGCTATTGATGCTGGGTGATTGAGTGTTTTAAAGAATAAGACAAACTGATTTTTAAACAGTAATGAAGTCAATGGCTATGGTTATGGTTAATGGCTATGATCAGTAATGAAATTGATGGTTAAAAATATATTCACAGGACGTGGGCATCGCTGGCTAGGCAGCATTTATTGCTCATCCTAAGTGCCCAGAGGACAGTTAAGAGTCATTCACATTGCTGTGGGTCTGGAGTCACATGTAGGCCACCAGGTAAGGATGGCAGTTTCCTTCCCTAAAGGACATCAGTGAACCAGATGAGTTTTTTCCTGACAATCGATCACCATTAGGGTCACCATTAGACTCTTAATTCCAGATTTCTTTTTAATTGAATTCAAATTCTACCATCTACTGTGGTGCGATTTGAACCGTGTCCCCAGAAGATTACCTGGGTCTCTGGATTATCAGTGCAGCGATAATACCACTAGGCCATTGCCTCTTTCTTAAAGGAGGTAGAATTGACGACTGTTAGATCAGCCATGATCTCAACTGATGGTAGAATAGACTCAATGGGCCAAGTGGCCTACCTTTGCTTCTCTACACCTTATCATATAACTCCATATACCTCTTTACCCCATACTTAATACCTCTGGTTAGCAAAAATCAATCAATCTCAGAACAATTTATGTAGCATCGATTTTCAACCAAGGTAGTTAAATATCGATATAAATATTTAAATTTTACAGCACCAAAATCTTTAAAGTTAAACCAACATGTATTAATGAGAGAAACAAGATTACCTGAGTGAAATTTAGTTCAGTTGGAAGCTGTGATGGAGCCAGTTGTCACAGAAAAGAATCAGTTACAGTAGAAGCTGACAAACTACATGTGACAAACTACATGGAGGTGATGGCCAGTGGTATTATTGCTGGATTGTTAATCCAAAGACCCAGATAATGTTCTGGGGACCCAGGTTTGAATGCCGCTACGGCAGATGGTCGAATTTGAATTTAATAAATATCTGGAATTAAGAGTCTAATGATGACTGTGAATCAATTGCTGATTGTTGGAAAAACCCATCTAGTTCACTAATGTCCTTTAGGGAAGGAAACTGCCATCCTTACCTGGTCTGGCCTACATGTGACTCCAGACCCACAGCAATGTGGTTGACTCTTAACTGCCCTCTGGACAATCAGGGATGGGCAATAAATGCTGCCTAGCCAGCAATGCCCTCATCCCGTGAATGAATTAAAAAAAACTACATGAAGGAAATCAGGTCAAGAAAAAGGGACCACGTAATGAATTCAATTTACATCAAAATTCATTTACATAAACTAAATCACATCATAGCCTGTTGTGAAAGTGAATTGAATAAATGCAGTAATTAGTGATTTGTTATCAAAGTTAAAAAGACAATGAAAGCTTCTGGAATAATAAGAAAAATTCAAATGCATCATCAATGCCATTCTGCAAAGAAAATGGCCATCCCTGTCTGGTTTAACCTATATGCTACTCTTTAAGCAACACTGCTGCCACATTGCTTTAATCCAATACTTGTTTTAAAGAAATTTTCTGACATAGAAGATATAGAAATCAGATACTTTAATGGCTGAATGGAACTATAATAGTGGGAAGAATAGTGAGCACACTAATAATCTAATACACACAAGTAACTTTTAAAGAAGCAGATTCTGCAGGAGTTTGTCATTGTAAGCTGTCTCTCAAATATTACTGATGATGATTGTGTGCTCGGGGGTGAGAGCTTCTGGCGTGAGTCTTGAAGTGACTGAACAGGCAGATTCTCAGCTCTCAAATTTAGGGCCCTTTGGCAGGATGTGCCACAGGGTAGTAGGAATTAGAGTGCCTTTTCTTTCATTCTCTACTGCAGTTGTGACTCATCATTAAGGTTTCTGGACTTGAAGCATGATGCAGCTTGATGAACAGGTTGTTGCCATTTTGAACAATCTGTAGCAAGCTTCTTCTTGTCAATAATGTCAGTGCCATCGCATTTCAGTTCTAAGGACATTCCAGCAAAACTCATGCAACATCAATGATGATAGGGTGGACAGACTGTTTCTGGATGGCTGAAAAATGTCTTTATCACCATGTCCTGTTTTCTCAACTCTGAAAAGTACAGGAGGTAGTAAGTTATACAATGAACTACTCTGGCTACACATGTCTGCGGGAAGAGAAAATTAGTCCGACTCCAGTAATGTTACAGGCTAACCAGCTTATCCTGGGGAAGAAAGCAGTGTGCTCCATAAAGTGACAGGGGCATTGGGATAATTAACATCAAATCAATCAGATATAAAAAAAGGATAAGACGAAAGCGGTTTAAAGACCATGAAAACTTCCGGATTTTATTTCTGCAGTTGAGGTAGTGATTATCTTGATGCCTGTTGACCTAGTTTTGCACACGACTCAGGCAAGATACAGATAAAAGCTACAGTATCCACAGAGAAGGGGTTATTAACACAGAGACAGGAACATCAATCATTTACAGAACTTCCTTGATATAAGCCCCACAGAAAACTAGTAATATTAGAAAAGCACACCATTGTTCCTGTGGGACGTGATGTGGGGACGGTTTATTCAAAAAAAGAACTGAATTTTCTTCCAAAACCGCAACTGAGTGTTCATCAAGAAACCGCAAGAGAAATGAAAGTCAGTGGGAGTCAGGGGAACAACACTGCACTGGGTGCAGTTATTCCTGGTACAACAAAAGACGGTCATGGTTGTCAAAGATCAAATAATCCTTTGTACCCAGCACATTGCTGGAATTCCTCAGTTAAACATTCTGCACCCAGAGATTTGTAGCTTTTGCATCAATGACCTTCCTTGCGTCACTGTGAGGAGGAATATGGCTGTTAGGTGACAATTTCATGTTGTTCCATTTGCAATTGCTTTGATAACAAATCAGTCAACGTCAACCTGAAGCAGGAGTTAAGGGTAGTAGATTCAGGCTGACAAATAGCAGGTTTCACTAACACTATATAACGGCATGGTACAACTACCCCAAACATCTAAAAGTTCAATGATTTCTCTTGATTCCTTTATCATTACCAAGCTCCCCACCATCAAATTAGCAAAACAAGAGAAGGGTACTAGTTAATCTCCAGTAGATGATGTGCAAGATAACTTTCAGGGAAGAAAGAGAGGAAATGAAGAAAAATATTATAATGGGGAAACATGAGTTGTGCAGTAATTAAGTATGAAATGTTCTTGAATAAACAGACGCGTTATTTATGAATGTACAATTCAATATCATACCTTCTAGTATTCTTGAAAAAATGATTTTGGTCCTGACAAAACCGGTTTTAATTAGAGATAAAAGTAAAAAGCTCAATGAAAACACATTTCATTTGTGAATGAAAGAACATTGAAGAATATGGGAACAACGTACCGATCCTAATTTAAAGGGTCTCTGACAGCCACCACAGAATTGATAATGGCATTCTGTGCATCCAAAATGAACACAACCTCCTCTCGACAAGTCAAATCGAACTCTGCAATTAGGGCACTCTGAAGTGGATGCAGAATGAACAATTAAAGAAAATAAGGACTCACAAAACAGGCCAACATATTTGGATATACAGATATATCAATTAGATATTATGTAATGAACTCAAGAACACAGGTATCACCCATCCCACAAAGGATAAATTCCTGCCATTTGCTATTTATATTAGAGAAAGAAACACATGCATCAATATAAATGGGGAACAAAGGGTCACCATAATAGGAAACAACCATAACTAATTTGTTCCACCTAGGAAACTCAAAACTATTCATCTCAGGATATAATTTTATTACTTTAGTGTGTCAGCAACAACTTAAGGCCTTAAATCAGCAATGATACTATGACTTCACTGCCAATGTCCTTGTAAATATTTAGGTCACATATAAACAAGACTGAAACAATGCAATTACCATAATATATGCACTTAAATGTCTCAAATCATTTTATGGTCTAAACAGAAATAAATTATTATTATAAATTAAATTATAAAGTGCACACTACCCTTTCCCTTCTCTTTGTTTAACTAGTCTTTATCTAGCATATTCTAACATTCCCTAATTTAAAAACAAAAATACAATAATCTTGTATCTTCTAAGTCCTGGTTATTCAGTTATTGTAGAACATGACCAATTTAATAAAATCACAACTAATTGAGTGAAAAGTGTCTCTCATGCTGAATCTTAAAAGATAACTGAACAGCAGACATTGACCCACAATCAGATCGTAGCTGCACCCTTTATATTTCCTTACGTGAAAACAATAAAATTCTGTGTGAAGCACAACTTTGTCAGTAGCCAATTGATTTAAGGTACAACTTCATTGCTGCAACTTACTACAACATGCTGAAAAAGTTAATTTACAATCTCAGTTGCTGTCAAATTAAATTGATTACCTATTCCATTTTTGGTGAGGTAGCCATCCAGTTTGCTTGCCTGATACTCAGGGTTGTTTTGCTGCTTCCATAATTTAAACTTTTCACAGCTGATTCCCTCATGCTGTTCCTCCCACTGAGGAAACAAAGTATCACAGTTAGTACCATTGGGGTGGATGTAAACGAACTTTACACAGGGATGAGAACCTGTGTGTAAAAAGGTGACAGGTAAAGCTGGAATTGGAAGGCAGGATATTAATAAACATGTAAGACAGAGGAAACAAAAGCAGGAAAGAGACACGAGTTTGGCACTGCTTAAAGGGGTAAATCTCTATGCAAAGAGTTTTGTGAATAAGGCAGGTGTGTTGAGGGCTGACAAACAGTAAAAGTAGTAATGTTATAATATAAAACTTAAAGGAAGATACAAATGGTTGCTCAACATTCCTAATTTGGAAATCATTACCTGAAGGGTCAGTAGGGGCAGAAACCTTCACACACATTTAAAAGTAATTTTTTATGCTTTTGAAGTAAGGAAATATTCAAGACTAGCGACGAAGTATTAGATATGTGATTAGGCTGGCTTGGGGATTCTGAAGAAGTCATACCAGACTCAAAATATTACCTCTGTTCTATCTCCACAGATGCTGCCAGACCTGCTGAGTTTCCCCAGCACTTTATTTGTATTTCATATCTACAACATTCACACTTCTTACTTTACTTAGGCTGGTTTTTATGGCTAAGAGATATGACAGATTGAATAATTTCCTTCTATGTCATAAATATCTGTTACTGGTCATAGTTCTGTGAAATTTCGACAACATCTGGAAGGCAGTTCAATCAAATACGAAGCTGTACACAGCACAACGGATTACTTACTGGAATTTTGCATTGGAAGCATGTGCTTTTCTTGCAAGAAGGGCAATCCATTCTCAGTCGGTCTACTTCATGCAACAGTCCAAAGGAACACTTGAAGAACCAATGTAACGTTTGGTTATTGCTTGCAAAAAGATATATTTTATTCAAGTTTTTGTCTTGTGCTCATCAAAGCAAGCCACAAGAATATCAATTTAAAGGAAAAACTAACATTTACACTGTATGGAAATGCTGTTTGGTAGCGAGTAGACTCGTTTATAGAAGCATCGCTATGGAGAATACACCAGTTAATGATGATTGACAGGTAATTTTCAAGTTTTGTTAAAATTTTAAACCAGGCAGATTGATTCTGATTGGTCAATGCATTGCACCAAGAAGTGAACCAGTGAATGATTGTCACCTATTTTGTTGGTTTGAATCAGGGCAGTGCATGTACATGCATGTTCTCAATAAGCAAGGTGCTGACCATACTCAACCAGCCAGCACTTGCAAATAGCGCAAGTTTTCAACAGTAAATGTCATTCTGTAATTGGATAATACGTGCTGGATAAGCATGAGTATGCAAAAAAATTACACTGACAACTAATTTTAGATTGCAAGTCAGGCTCACAATGTGGCACATTTGTGTGTAAAGGAAGCTGCATGTACTCATACACAGGGCCCTGTTCTTTGTGGACAGAATTAAAAACATGTGCATGCACTACACTTATTTCAAATGAACAGAAACAGGTAACAGTCATTTGCTGGTTAATTTTTCAATGCAATTTCTTGATCAGAGTCAAATTGCCCTTGTTTTAAAGCCTTGTAGTTAACTGTCAACTATCATTAGCTGGTGTATTCTCCAGGGCAATGCCTCTATCAATCACTGCCCACTTGCCAACTAATCAATACACTCCTCTCATACAGTATAAATGTTGGTTTTCCTCTTAAATTGGCAATCTTGTGAATTTTTCCAATTCATGCAAGAAGGAAAATTTGACAAAATGTGTTTTTCTTCAGCAATAAGAAACTGAACTGGGACAACCTCAAAATGTTCTTACGTGTGCACACCATCTGAAGTTTGGCATTTCTATCAAAGTTCGGTCTCGAAGCTTTCTTTGGAACAACTCATGAAGTCCTTCATCAAGATAATAGCGAATCTATGCATAAAATATATGTAGATATATTGATTCATCAAAATTAATGTATTTCCTTTAAAAGTCAATGGAGACACTGGTAGTGATTTAATTATTGAAAGAACTAAACTATCCAAACTTTTGTGCTCATATGCTTAGTAAGAAGTCATACATGAACAACTACATTTATTAATTCCAGTACTATACCTTTAAATATTTTACTGTCCTGTATTGTTTCCCAAGGTGCTTTTGTTCCTTCTATTAACATAATTACCCACATTACTTCCTGAACTAGTCTTCTGATACAAGCAATTCTGTGTCTTGAATTTTTCTCAGCAGATTGTAAAACTCTAACCTGAATATCCAAGAAGTTGAAGTATTCTGTGGCATCTTCTTGGAGACGGGAACTTTTCAGATCTGGTGTACTGCACATTGGACAAACCATGCTAACTATACTTTTCTCTTTTATAACTGATGAAAAATATTTCCTAAAACAGTCTTGACAGAACGAACAGTTACAGTACGTCATTGTCACAATCTGTAAAAATAAAAATCAGATTCTAATCAATTTATCACTTAAACAGTAAACCAAAACAATTTAACACAAATCATTTAAATAAAATAGTCGAGGAAAAGACAGCAATCATTATGGCACAGTCACAAAAAAACTCTAGATTTAAGAGTTGCACAATGGGCAGATAAGACATATTTGATTATGTAAGATTAGCAGTGACAACAGTTCTAAATTATACAAACATAACTGACTATAAATGATTGTTGGCCAGCAGTGTAATTTGGGATTTAAAGTGTGCTTGAAAACTGCTGCAGCTTTTGTTGAATACTCTCATTTCCATTGCTCTAAGTGCATACTTCTCAAATACTTGGAAAACAACAAAGTATTTTTAAACAATAGCATCATATAATCTTTGCATCACAATGAGAAAGAAAGTTTACAGGCAGATTAATTAGGATTCTATATATGAATAAGCACAGTTCTCTCAAAAAGGTTCTGAAGGAAATTTACTGAAATTCCCTAAGCACCTCATTGAACACTTAAAGCATTTGGTGATTTTTACTGCTAAGCAAGGCAACTGCTGTCACGGAAATAAAGCAATCATTACCCACATCAAACAATTACTGTCTGGGTACAGCATGTTAGATGCAGAATCTAGTTTGCCGCATGCTCAACAATTTACTTCATGGCCTTAAAAGATCACCCTTACAGCACCAGTGTTTATTTCTCTATATTTCCACAGAAACCTTCCAAATGGCCTTGCTGAGTACAATAGCTGGTACTGTTCTGTGCTGCAAGACCTTGGTAAGTTTTTGGCAATCTAATGTTTTCAGATCAAATGTACAATTTATCAAGTAAATACCCAGTAATTCCACTTTGCTGCTCAGTGCAGATGCAGCTGGTGAGCCAGGTGGAACTTGAGCGGTTGGCGGCGTTATAGCGTCACCAAGGTCCAAAGTGGTCGGCGGTGAGCCCAGGTGGGACTCTGGTGGTGGGCAGCGAAATAGCAGTGTGGAGAAGATCGAGCCCAGTACGAATGTGAGAACAAGCCCTTGTGGGGAAAGCCCAACATGGAGCATTTGCAGGCCCATAGCGAAAGGAGGACTGTAATGCTGAACTTTATTTTGAAGTTAACTTTAACTTCATTTCTTTATTTTCCTAGTTTATACTAAAAAGGACTGTGATGTTGAATTTTCAACTTATTTCTTTATTTTGCTACTTTGTACCTAAGATTGCGTACCCTTGTACCCAATTAGCACCAGGAATGGCGACATTGTACACTTTTCACTGTACTGCTGTATCCCTACAATTGAGTACACGTGACAATAAAATCTAATTCTAATAATCTGAAAGTTTCAGTAATTATATCACCACTGCCTAGAGAGCACAACTGAACCATAACAAGCAAATTCAAGTCTGTGACTGACAAAACAATTAATTTTCCAAGTCACTACTTCAATACTAATGTAGTGTCAACAACTTAATCAGTTATAGCAGAACATGTGCTCTACCATCTTAGACTTGAATATCAAAACTGGTATTTGTTGACACTAAGGGACTTTTGTAATTCGGTAATTTTATCAATATGTTTGAACAAAGGATATTGCAACATGGGAAGCTTCACATTATCACAGCACAGAATCACATCAGGGCTCATGTCCTGTGATGTGGTAGTTTAAAAGGGGAAGGTGGATCAAAAGAAAAACTGAATTGCCTAAAGGACCATAAGAAATAGAAGTTTTTAAATGGAGTAGTTTCCTAATGCGGTCAGCTTGAAGCTTTAAAGGAACTTCAGCCAGAAGGTTGATGAACTGGCGATACTTTTTTTTTCCTGGTCAGTGCGCAAGAATTAAATGAACTGACTAATGTGTGCAAGAACACGCGGGAATGATTTTTTTTGTTGTGTCTTTCGTACATAAATGCAGTATGTAAAGTCAAAAACCTGAAGTATTACAGATTTGAAGATAGTACATATGAGCTACATGGGTCATATATATTGTGAGAACAAGTGACTGTATATACTGCTTTCTACATCACTTTAGAGCTGAGATTCTATATATTAAACCATACCTTGCTAAAAGTTACTTGGTCTCCACAAATAGGACACTCATGAGAAAGATACCGCAAAGCTGATTCAAAATTTAAACCAGACTGCACAGCTTCCACCACATCCTCAGCTGTGAAATTATTGTCCTGAAGGCTCATTAATCTCTGGAAAATTTCTGATTTTTCTCTTGGCAGATCAACAGGAATTGATGATGACTCTACCTGTGAATTGATAAAACAAAAATCTTGCTGATATGTTAAATTGCTTTTGACAAAGAAAATCTCACAATAATAAACCCTTCCCTTCTACATGGCGTGTCAGTCAAATGGTTAGACATTAAAATACAACAAACTAAGGGAGAAACTATAGTTCTAGTTCACATGCACCAATACATCAGTATGCAAACAGAAATTGCTGGAAATGTTCAGCAGGCCAGGCTATGAAGCGAAACAGAGTTAACCAGTTATGATAATGCTTCAGATATCTGACCTTTTAAAATATACATTTTAGCAAAATCTCTGGATGCTGGAAATCTGAAACACAATGTGCTGAAGAAACTCAACAAGATTGGCAGCATCTGCGGTGAAAGAAACATACTTAATGTTTGGGTCTCTTTTTCAGATCTGAAGCATTAATTCTGTTTCTCTCCATAGATGCTGCCTGACCTGCTGAGTATTTCCACATTTTGTTGTTTTTATTACAGATTTCCAGCATTAGCAGTATTTACCTTTTGTGCTGGAATTTAAAGTAACCTACCCACATTTGGTAGATACGCACCATATCCACAGGGGGAATTTTATTTCCAATGATATCTTTACCCAACACACCATCTTTCTCATCGTACAATTTCACTCGTATGGGGAAATTTTTATTATTAATGGTGATTAAGCGATGTTCCTGTCTGACAACTCTTTCTGCAACTGTATAGAAAATAAATACATTTAGCATATTTTTGGGCCAGTGGACATAATGTAATTTTTCTTGCATTTTTGTTTCATGAATTGTGTGTTAAATGTTATGCATGCTTTTCTCAGAGACTGGAAGCAATGACAACTGGTCTTCTTGCCGTACAAGTCATCGTTTCCCAAGGCTATTAGAATAACTTCCAAATTTCAAGACAGATTTCCATTTTGTAATTAGATGTCATTCCAATTTGCATAAGGCATTTTAATACTAACTTACATGATTATAAAATTTCTGACAAATTGCAGCATCTCCCTAGAAAACATCCTAGGTACCTTACCAATAATTTAAAACATCATCTTGCAAAGTCAAACCACATATTTCATTTAAAGTAGAAACCATATTCATCAGTATCCTTTTAAAACAACAGTACAATAAAGCATTTGAGCAGTTTTTTTTGCTTAAACAGTAAATAGTGCTCACAGTACTTTGATAACCACCTTTGAAGAGTTACTGAACTGGATAAATTAAATTTTCATGAACACTAAAAATACCCAAGACTGATAGTGTTATTTGTCTGATAGATGTTAAATTCAATCCTTCAGACGAGAGAATTATGGTGCTATTTTATAGCTGTGGGTCCTTGAAGAAATATATCTGTAGCATCACTCCAGGAGGCACTTGACAAGGTGCCAAATAAAAGTTCATTGCTCAAAGTAGGAACTCAAGGTATAAGAAGTAGCAAATTTGCATGTATAGAAGATTAGCTGACTAGCAGAAAACAATTTTTTTTTCCTGATTGGCAGCACATGCATGGGTATGTACTTGAACCTCAACTTCTTACAATTTATATCAATGATCTTGACAAGGGGAGTGAAGTCATGGTAGCTAAATTTGCACATGTCACTAAATAGATCAGAAATTTGTTGTGAATAGGACATAAGAAAGATCCAGACAAATATAGATAGGTTGAGTGAATAGTCAAAAATCTGGCAGATGGAGCAAAATATGAGAATATATGAAGATTTTCATTTTAGTGTAAGAATATTCAGAAGGTGAATATTACCTAAATGGAGAATGACTGTAAAACTCAGAATTGCAGTGGTTCCAGTGCATGTGTCACAAAATGTTAGTACGTTAAGTATAACAAGTAATTAAGAGGGCTAATGGAATGCTACCATTTGTTACGAAAGGAATTGAACACAAAAGTAAGGATATTATGCTTCAGTTATACAGATTATTGTTGAGATCACATCTCAAATTGTGTGTGCAATCTTGGTCTCCTCATTTAAGTAAGGATGTAAGTGTTTTGGAGACAATTCAGAGATTTACTCAGTTGATTCTGGAATGCGTTCCTTGTCTCATGTGGAAAAGTTGGACTGTCTGGTCTTGTTTAAACTGGAGTTGGGAAGAGTACATGGTAACTGAATTGAAGCACAAATGATCCTGAATGGTCTTGAGAACATAGATGTAGATAGGATGTTGGGTTGAGTTCAGAACTAGGGGGTGCTATTTTGAAATATGCATCACCTTTTTAGAACAGTGATGAATATAATGTTTTACACTCGGAGGGTATGCAACTTTGGAACTCTGCTTTAGAAGGCTATGGAGGCAAGGTCAATGAATAGTTTGAAGGCGGATGTAGAGAGATTATTATTAGGTAAGGGAATCAAAGGTTATCAACAATTGATGAGAATGTGGAATTCAGAACACAGACAGATCAGTCATGACCTTATTAAATGGTAGAGCAGGCTCGACAGCCCAAATGGCTACTTATGCTCCTAATTGCATGCTTGCATCGCTTAAGGTGCAGTACAAACATAAGCTCTGTGCATAAAGCACAATGTGCTTTGAGTAAAATGGTTTACAATTATCTTATTTGAGTGTATAAACATTATTGTTTATCTCCATTATTGTTAAGAAACATCTTGAAAAAGCTAAATCTTTCTTCAAGCATAAGGTACCTTTGGCATCACAAAATGTAATAACAGCAGATCCTGGAATTTTAGTAGGATACTGAGATTTGACTATTTCTCCACCACCGTTGATAGCGCGCTGAAAAAATATGGTAAGCTTATCTTTCATCCTGTGCATTGGAAACTCAACAGGAATGTTAAGTACATGCACTCTCCGTTCATCGATAGATCTTGAATTTTGAGTGTCGTGTAAACTCAAAGGTTTTGCATTTTCTGATTCAATCCGGTCAGAAGAAAAGGTACCATCAGCCACATCTTCAAAAAACAAAGAAAGTTATCCTTGAATCTGCATGACACAGTGTTACTAGATTTGATTCAGGTAAATTCATGAAGAAAATTTGCTCCCTTCTATGTAAAGAGAGATTCTTCAAAGATTAATACAAAGTTAATCACTGTCTGACTGCAGTGCACACTATCGGAGGCAGCATTACACAAGTTTTAGTTTTCAGAAGATGCAGCATAACCCCAAGCTGATACAATGCAATGTTTTAGAATTCCACACAATTATTTAACCAACTGGACTCTTTCACAGATTTTTTGGTATTAGGTGAAAAGGATATTCCCACCTACACCATCTTAATATTGAAAATCATTCACCGGGGCTGCCAGGTTCTGAATGTACATTCAATGACATTTGAACAGACCTTCTTTCTGACTGACCTTCGCGCAAACATGCAGACATGTAACGGGAGCAATCATGTCACCAATTTTGCACTGCAATCCATTGATACTGGTCTTAACTGAAGTATTAAAACAGCCGAGTAATTTAATAGTTTATTTCCCCAAACGATTTTGTTACTGATGGGCACTTCCTAAATAGTTAAATGCACTCAGTAATCTATTCTAAAGACCACTTTGAGAACTACTTCAAATATTAAGAGAAACTGGACTGAATCTGAACTGCCAAAAATGCTTGGGTTAGGATTGTGTCAGTAACGGAAATGCAAACAATTTGTAACAGGAACTGAATTCATCTCAAACCCATCTGTCTTTGGCTTTAATGGAGGTGGAATAATTGAGTTGTGGCTAACCAGCTTCAGGAAGCAGACCAGTTATTCAATTAGAATGAAACTCTCTACCTTCTTTAATATTCAGTCTATTTTTAACCTTAGGCAGCTGGTTTTCCAGGCATCGGGAAAACCCAGTAGCCTATCAGAGGCAAGAAGGAATGAATCCATAAGGCAAGTAACTTAACAGCACTGTTTGTAGGCCAGAAACAACAAGAGTCTTTTCTGAAGACACAACAAGGTAGCCAATTAAGCATACTCACCCTCAAACATCAATGAACACATTCCATCCCTCTCCTCTCATTTAGAATTCATCTACATTCCCTGTCTCCCTCCATTCCAGTACCCAATACGGACCTCAAGACAAGTTATACAGATCACTTCTTCTGCAACTTAGAACCCTAATTAATATCGGATATCTCTGACCAAGCATCAACTATCTCTCTTACTCTTAAAAGTTTTGACCCTGTGAAGCATGCTTCCAACCCAAAGATCAGTCCAACCTAAATACACAGTCAACCAGGCTTCCTGTAGACATCAAGACCAGAATAAAAAAAAGAATTCTATAACTAAATTCTGCAGGAATGTCAGGAAATTACATTCTTCTCAATTTCACAACAGGCCCCTTGCTCAAGCCTTCAGACTAAACTCGAAGTCATTAATTCAAGAACAATATCTTGCATAGCGCTTTATTTTCATAGAAGATGAAAACAAGGTAGTTATTCAATTTAAGCATTTCAAATTTTGGGTGGATTGTTGTAATGTATAAGTGCAACCTTGTTTGTTTTTAGAAGATACTGCCCAGTTAAATGTATTCAGTACTTTGTCCAAATGCAAGTCTTCAAAAAGCTCTGCAGTTTGTTCTGCAGAATCCATTTTCTTCTTCAATGCTTTATCTATTAAATAAAGGAAACAAGACCACAGCATATCAAGAAACTGATTCAAAATATACAAAGAGTAACTACGTACATATTGGCAATTTCATATTTAAAATTAAATATCCCTTAACACAGTCTGGTGACAGAAAGGATGGAAAGTTACATTTCCGTGCTTGTTGATCTATAATATTTCTTTCATTCACAATAATATACATAATATTACCAATCAGCAAGCAAAAACACAGAAAATCCCAGCCATTAGGCTGGTGCATTGTACTGAGTAATGAGGTGCATGTTTACGTACTAGATTCAAAATGTTGTTCTAATTTTCAACAAGCCCACTCAGTGAAGATGCTTCCACACAGGTACGGAAGAATAATACAACAAATAAGGGACACTGTCAACCTCATACCACTTTCCCACATCTCAAATCAGCAAAATCAGGCCTAGAGCATGGCAGATTTCCTGTATCCTGTGGTCTACCAAGTCTGATGAAAATGACATGAACAAAGGAATCATCAGGGAGTTAGAAAAGGAAGATAACTTCCTTCCCCACTCCCCAGGGTTATAATGATCCTGTAGATTATTAGAACAAGAAAAATATCTGTCAAATTACAGCAAGATAGAGCAATCTGCAATAAAAATGAAAAAGCTTGAAAAACGGGTCAGACAGCATCTATGGAGAAAACAATTTGGCAATTCTTCTCGTAACAGATGAACAAGTATATTAATGGCAACAGAATAAGGGCAAAGTGAAACAAAGTAGGCTGATGCAACAGATCAGTGGAAGCCTGAAACAAACTAAACAAGTTTCAAGGTCCAATCTGTTTAAAGGAAAGGGCAAACCAAAAGGGAAAATAAAACAGATAAGGCAAGGTTAAAGAAATGAAAGAGATGGAAAACATCCTGATGATTAGGTTTGCCATTAAAACACAAGATGCTAACAAACTATATAAAGTGAAAGAAGAGGTTAACAGCGTTAGGTTCTGATGAAGAGTCACCACAACCAAAACATTTCTTCCTCCCCAAATACTAAAAGCTGCAATATCAATGATCAAGCTTGCTGTAAAAATAAATGATGTATACAGCCATGTTTGTTTTCTTGATATGCTACTATCCAGAACAGAAATGCATTGGTCATGATGTATACATACAATGATACTTTTTATGAATAAAGCATATTTTTGAAATAAAAAAAACTGAAACCTCTCCACCTAGGGGTGGCATGGTGACTCAGTGGTTAGCACTGCAACCTCACAGCGCCAGGGATTCGGATTCAATCCCACCCTCAGGTGTCTGACTGTGTGGAGTTTGCACATTCTCCCTGTGTCAGTGTGGGCTTCCTCCCACAGTCCAAAGAAGTGCAGGTTAGGTGGATTAGCCATGCTAAATTGCCCAAACTGTCCAGGGATGCACTGGTTGGGTGGATTGGGTTACAGGGATAGGATGAGGGGGGTGGGTCTGGAAGGGATGCTTTTCAGAGGGTTGGTGTGGACTGTGTAGGGATTCTATGATTCTAGTTTACCTTCTAAGAGTTAGTGCTGCAGAATACTCAATCTTCAAAAGGATTTATTTTCAGTTTCTGGTCAATGGTAAACCCTAGGATGTTGACAATGGAATGTGATGGAATTGCCATTGAATGTCAAGGGGCGATGGCGAGATTCTCTATTGTTAGAGATGCCCATTGCCTGGTACTTGTGTGGCATCAATGTTATTATGGCAAGCCTGAATGATGTAAATGAACTGCATCAGTATGTGAGGAATCATAAATGGTGCTGAACACTGCAATCATCAGCAAACATCCACTTCTGACCTTATGATGAAGGGAAGGCTGAAGATTGTTGGGCCTAGGACACTACCCCAGGGAACTCCTGTGGTGAAACATTGCGACTGAAAGGTTGGCCAACAACCAGAACCATCTTCCTTTGTGCTAGATATGACTCCAAAATGTGGAGGGTTCTCCCCCTGCTTCCCAGTGACTATACCACCCAGATGGTGCTTTCTCTGATATATAGATGACTGTGAGAGCCAATTTCTGAGAGACAGAAAGAGCTGAGGGTTCTTAACCTAGGCAAATGGTGGTTAGCCCAGGGTCTCTGTCGAACTGCCCCCATCTTTATACCCGTGATGTCAAGGGCTGTCAGCCTCAATTCACCTCTGGAGTTCAGGTCTTTTGTGCATGTTTAGACCAAGGCTAAAATTAGGTCATGATCAGAATGGACCTGGCACATCCAAACTGGGCATCAGTGAGCTATCTGGTGCAGGGCCCTGATCTCAATGTGTGAACACACTTGAGTTAAACAGCAAAACAAAAGTGTATACAGACAGTCATCGGGCTTAAGACGGAATGCAGCTTGATGCTCAGGCATCATTTTTAGTTGCTGTACGCAAGGAGCCATATACTCGAATTAGACAGAATGCAAAAAGGATTCACTGGATTGATTCCTGTGTTAGGAAGGTCATTCCTTCTGGTCAGATTGAGTAGAATGGGCCTATACTCTGGGTAGAATGAAAAATGATCTCGTCAAAACATTTAAGATTCTGACGGCTTGACAAGAGTGAATGCTGACTGTTGATTACCCTGCTCGAAGAGACTACAACTAGCAATCATTTAGGTCTGAAAAGACACTTCTCCAGTGTTGAGAATCTTTGGAATTCTTTCTCAGGCCATGGATGCTCAGTGAGTTTATCCAAGCCTGACTCAAAATGTTTTTGAGACTGAAGGAATCAAGTTACTTGGGAATTCCATGAGAAAAGATCGTTCAGAATGAAGTTCTGCCATTGTCTTTCTGGATGACAGCAAAAGCTCAAGGGACTGTTTGGCCTATTCCCACTTCTGCTTTTTAAATTTATTTATGCCAAGCAACATTATTCACTAATGTGGGAAGACAGAACATGTTCATTATATTTACATTGTTAGACAAAGCTAATTTCCATTGTAAATTAAGTGTATTTGACAATAGCAATTGCTGGATTATGAAATGCTGCTGCATACCAGATTTTCTCTCAACAGTTTCATGCAAAGGTCTGGAAGATGGCGAACTAGAATGAAATAAGAAACAAAACAAAACATTTAGTGCTATGACTTCAAATCCATCATGCAACAACACCAACAATTTTAATACATTGCGAACCAGAAGTGAACACAAGACCTCTGCTGGGCTGAGCAGAAAAAGATTCTCTACACTTAATCCAGAAAACCAAATTTGGCAAAATGTCCTGAATTGCTTGCAGATTTAACTTTATTGATTCGATTATCAGGTCCTCTGCTGAACACTGATTTTAGCATCCTTTTTCTTCTAAGTGCTGATATTAATCTTTTGAAAATCATCAAAGTAAAATGTTTCATGAAAATGACAGTCATGAGAAACACCTTGGAAATAGTATCACTACTTAGACTGCAACATTCTAAATTATTTTTTGTTGCATAACTACCGTAAAGGGTTTTAAGATACACTTGGATTTTAGTATTGCAAAGGAAAGCCACAATATCGCTGATAGGATAAATAAGTTCTGCAGAATCAAGAACAAAATAATGGTGTAGCTGGAAATCTGAAATAAAAGCTGAACATGTTGAAAATAGCTGGCCACACAGCATCTTTGGAAGGAGAAACAGCACCAACATTTCAGACTGATGACCTTTCAATAGATCTTAAATGTTGGTCTAGGTTACGAAGGTTAGGGGAGATGGAGAGGCCGTGTTCAGAATGGGACACCTGGCACTCCCAGTGTCCCAGTGTGTTTGTGGAGTTTTAACTCATTTCAAGTTTTACTTTTTTGCCACTCGGTTTTTTTCCCCCACTCAGTGATCAGCTTCATTTGAAAGACTTGACTTTCTCGTGGTAAGGGGGATCAGGCCACAGGATCAGTTTGATCAAATTTCCACCCACGGGGTGAAGTGCATCAATCATGGAAGGATTCTGAGCATTGGCTTCAGGATAGGAGAATGGAAGAATTTAGGCAGCCATGAGGAGGTGCTCCTGCTCCTCACCCACCAGCAGTGCCATGGAGGAGTTTAAATCCATCCCATTACCTCTGTTTCTCTCTCCATCAACACTGTTTGAAATGTCCAGCAGCTTCTGTTTTTATTTTTCCAGAATTTTCAATGTGAATCATATGAATCTGCATAATACAATAAATTACAGGGGATATTCCAATGTACTTCTGTTTCTCTTCTAATGTAGCTTCAGTGATATTGATGATTAGAGGTGTGTTAACAGCTGGAATTTTCTGGGAGGTGGCCAAATTCTTTCTTGATGCCTGAAGCTCACCAGGATGGCCTGCAACACTGACTGGCCAATAGCTCCAATCTAGCTACTGAGGCAGCGAGGGAAGCTTGGGGTTGGTGGGGGTGGGGGGAGCACCTTTGGGAAATTGCTGAAAACATAAGCATAAAGATGGCGCACAGCTTTTATGTTGATTTTCTGAAAATGCTTCTGCAGAATTGATCAGCTACAGCTTTTGGATACATCTGGTTCAATAATGGGGCTAAGTCAAATGAGGGGCTATTAGTTTGCCAGTCTAATGCGAGTAGGCTGTCTGCTGAATTGGGGGAGGTGGATCAACACCAGGAAAATCCCCAGAACGCGTGCACTTTGGCCCCAAGGGTGTCTTTAATTCATCTTAACTGACACACACTGCTGCCAGGCAAGCATACACTATGGTGCTGGCCCAATGCATGACTTTCAAAAAATTTGCCTGACCCCATTTCCAAAGCTGCCTCTGTTGGGAAATTTCTACCCACATAATCTGTTCTCTTTAACTCAAAGTCTATTTACCTTCAGAAAAACATCAAAGTGGTCAAAAATCAAATTCCGCAACTTGAATGATATTTGGGATAAGGTTTTGGAGTAGATCTGTAGCTCGGGTTGTTGGTTGGCTCGCCGAGCTGGGTTGTTGTTCCGCAGATGTTTCGTTATCGTGCTTGGTAACATCCTCAGTGCAGCCTCTGATGAAGGTATTTGGGATAGTCTATGCAGAACCCGAATTTGGCTTAACATGCAGTATGAAAATGATTAGTTCTGATGATTACCTTGGAGAAATTCCTGCAGGTGAAACTGGATAAGCACCGCCTTTATATTGGTGACCATAGGCTGTAAAAGTTAAATTGCAAAAATGGAATATATTTAAACATGTAATACTCTTAACAACATATACTTTCACATTTAGAAAATAAGCATCCTGATAGCATGAAGGTTTTAAGTGCCCTATGTCGTGCAGCTGAAGTGATAAATAATGCAGCCGGAATTCAACAAGATCCTAATTTCAGTATTTCAGTTGTAGCTAAATACTCTAACCAGAATTCTACGTGTGATTTTGGGGAAAAGAATATACGTAAATGGGGGGGTACTGAAGCCTCAGTCCATCCTTGAGAACTTTGTAAACATTCAGCGCTCAGATCATACACATATTGAATAGTACTTTGTAAAAACTAACGTAAAGTTTCTGGTACCAATCCAATCATATTCTACGGTTCATTACCCATTCAGGACAGAAACCACAACAGAAAGAAGAATAATAAACCTCTCAAATCAAAACTGCTCTAAGTTTCTGAGTTGTTTTCTCAGTGCAGCACTATTCATTCTGTTTATTTATTTGACAGCTTGAGCCTCCATCCTTCTTTCCCAAACCTAACTAACTCAGAATTAACTGAACTATTTGTATAATCGTTCTGAAATATATCGCGTGAAGTCTTGCTTTATCTTATACAAGTCCCATTTTACAACATGAACATCTGACACTGTGCAAAAATACATTAAGTCTGTCAGAGATAGGATACTTTTGATGAGATGTTAAAATGAGGCCTAAATGCTTTTTCTGATAAATATGATAATGATCAGAATGCCATTTGCAGTGCAAGGAGTTCTGGCAATGTCTTGATCAGCTTTCCTTCCCTCAAGCATAAGACCATAAGAAACAGAAGTAACCCACATGGCCCCTCAAGCCTACTCAACTGCTAATAAGATCATGGCTGATGTGACCTTACTTTCCTGCCAGGGTCCCATCTCTCAATAGTCTTATAACCAGATAACTATTGATATCAGCCTTGAATATACTCAATGATATGTTAGCCACAAACATCTCTAATGAAAGTAATTTAGTACTTAAAGTTACTGGAAAATATTTATCTTCATCTTGCTCTAAAATGGCATTTCTTGATTCCGCTAGTTTTGTTCTTTTTTATTTTCTGTCATGGTGTTAGATACAAAATATTTGTTAAAGCTGTGTCATTTCTATATTTCTGATTCTAATTTCAGAAACTTTGGGACCCTCATTTACTTTGCAGGTCTCTCACAAACTGAGTGAAGTTCCTTTTTTTCATATTTCTTTCTAGTTTGTTGTCATATTCTAATCTCATCCTTTATCCATTTTCTTGGCCAAGAAACTCAAAATCTCTCAAGCCTCAGGCTTTCTCCTCTTCCTGAAAATCTTGTAAGCCTCTTCTTTTAATCTAATATTATCCTTAACCCCATTCGTCAGCTATAAATGGACCCCTTTTCCCAGAAAGATCTTGAATTTCCCAATGGGAGGTAGCTTAGTTAAGGTGCTTAAAATATTTCTTTAAATGTTTTCTATTGCTAACCTACTATCATAACTTTTAACTGAATTCTCAATTTACCTTTGCCAATTTGTCCCCCTCATCTATGTAACAGGCTTTTAAAAAACAATATTTGTGTTTTCCCCTTAAGCACATCACTCCTAAACCCCCATCTTATTTTCTATTTTGTGATCACTCTTTCCCAGATAATCCTTACTATGAAATTAATTAACCCTGGTTCAATCACAGAACAACATTTGAAATAGCTTCTTTGTTGGTTGGATCATCAATGTACTGCTCAAATGCATTCGTCAAACTCATCTTCCAAGTCATATCTTAGGACTTTAATCTTCATTTAATGTTGCAAAAATCAAATCTGCAAAGTCCTTCATGATTATTGTATTGCCTTTGTTACAAACTCCCACTACTTCTTGATTAGTACTCTAAGACATCAGACTAATTGATCATTCATCTTATTCTTAATTGTTGGGGACCTATTGTGATCAAAATAGCAAACAAATTCATGTACTTAACAATGACTGAATCTCAAGGCTAACTTGTGTGAGAGAAGCATTTTGGATTATCTGAGACATCAAAAAATTGATGGTGTTCAGCTAAAGAAAATAAAGTTGCCATGAGATAGAAAGGTTTTGCACATTTCAATAAATGTTATATTCCTTCCTGAACTAATATGCCTGCAAGTCATTAGGCATTAACATTTAATAAAATTACAAAAAGCAATTACTAATTAAAAATGGTATTATCTGGGGAGTGCCTTAGGAACAGCATAAAAGATCACTTGTACATTCTACCTGCCACTAGCAAAAGCCTCTAAAGATAAACATGCAACAATATTACAAGGGAAATGGACAGGGTGAACAGGAAGAAGCTGTTCCCCTTAGTAAGTTGTAGGGTCAATAACAACAGGGCATCATTTTAAAGCGAAATGTTGGAGGTTTAGATTTGAGGAAAAATATTTTCACCCAGAGGGTGGGGGGATCTAGAACGCACACCCAAGTGGGTAGTTGAGACGTGACACCTCACATCCTTTAAAAACGACTTCGATGAACACTTGAAGTACCACAACATTCAAGGCCATGAGCCGAGTGTGGGTACGTGGGACATGTATAGGTAGTGTATTTTTGGCAGTAGAGATTTGATAGGCCGAATGTCCTCTTCTGCACTACTTGCCTTCTTGAGGTACTAAGTTATCAGTAGGAACACTGCCATAAAGACTTAAAAGTTTTGAGCACATCTCCCATACCATGTGGCTCTTTCAGGAGTGAGAATGCTGGCTCTTTCCCCTCTCCCTCCCCAAAATAGTGATGAAGTCAGCTCTGTGACCCTTGTTACAAAAGCGTTCATTAAGTGTTTTGCAGTGAAGGTCAGGACCCCAGTTGGTTGAGATAAAAAGTTTGAGTTGACTGTCTTTTTTTTTGTTATTTATTTACTGTTTAAATTTGAACTGCAGCTCACTTCCCCTTGTCAACTGCCACATTTGTCTTATAATTTACGTAATGATGCTCTTCATATAGGCTTGCTTATTAAATGTAGAGTGTTTCAAACCTCTAATGATATCCACTTATTAGGGAGAAGGGAATGGAGAGCTCCATTGGTAGATTTGGAGGAGGAGAAAATGGGAGGAGGCTATAGTTGAGCTGGATGTGCTGAATGGTCTTTTCCATGACACAGATGCATAATTATTCAATTATCTTAAACTGCTGACTTACACCATATATTTGAATATGGAGGCTGGAAATAACCTGAATTCAAAGGCTGAGGAATATTCTTGAGACGTGGACAATTATTCCCAATGGAAGGTACAGTGCTGCAATGGAAAACATATACATTTAGCAGATGTTATCTATTTGACAAGACACAGACAGACACCTGTGCTGCAAAATCTTTTATTTCCAGTCAATGACAGAGCTGAGAAAGATACATCCTCCAACTAGCTCTACATTACTGCATCACAAATGACCTGCACCTTTCAAGTAAGTAAAAGTTGTCGTGAACAAAAAAGACTTCTACGAGAATTGCAATGTCACTGACATATTCAGATTTAATGTTATGCATTATTGCAACTTCTGAAGTTAGTGCAGTCTAGTGTATAACTAATATCTACAGTAATACTCTATTTTGCCTGCATTTTGATTTGTCTGTTTAAGGGACATGTCTGCTAGTTAATTTAGTTAGTGTGGTGCTTGGCATGCAAAGTAAATGTAAATGACTTAGGTGTGTAATTCAGCTAGAAATGGAGCGCAGGGATGGGGTTGATGGAGGACAGAAACATTGGAAGGTAATGGGAGCTCAATAGGAGTTGGAGAGATTGTTTCACCCGAGGGACGGGATGCGATGGGATGGGAATGGCATGTGTGGGTGGATGAGATGGTTAAAGAGTGCCGAAACAGCAGGGACAATTATTTGATACAACTTATTATTCAATACGTCATGCTAAAAAATAAGATATACTAGGTTTGACTATGAAAGTTTGAAAACAAAACAGTCCAGTGAACTAAACAAGTGTATTAGTATTTATTCTACATCCTACATTTATTCTATATCCTTTAGAGTTTCTAAACAGTCTGACTCAAATGAATGAACATGTTACCACACAAAATGTAGAATCAAGCAAGGAACAGTAGTAATGTTGCTACAAAACATGATTCCTAAATAAGGACAGAATAAAGGAGCAAGATTGATATTCTGGAAACTATTCTTTTTGACACCAAAATTCTAACAGTATATTTCAAGGAAATGGTGCTTATTCTTTGAATAATATTAAACCCATCAGATGTAAGCCTATTTACAATTTGGGAAAGTAGTTCCCATTTAGACTTAGATATTCACTGATTATAAATAATTCACATGCCAAATTCTTGATAATGTTTACCATAATATTTCTAGGCCGATACCTAGACATGGGACAACTTCACCTAGATTTCTGCAGAGTGAAAATTGCACTAAAGTTACTGTTGAGATTTAACATATTTTGTGGGTCTCTGCTCGTTTTCAAAATTCTACTGTCACTACTTGCTGACCACACTTGATAGAAGTATGGTCCATTTGTACAAATGCATCTTGATTGTACAGTAATGATAGATCAAGTTACAGAGATGTCACAACCTATCTAACTTTGAATCATCCATAACATAATGGGAATCAACAACAGAAGCTCACCTTGGCCAAGGAGGCATAACAAGAGAGGTGGAAAATTGCTGTTCTAAAAAGAGACAATTCAAAGAAAATTAATGAAAACCTATTCTCCTAAAGTTCTATTTGAAACATCACTCTTAAAATCCCCTTCTACAGCATATATTTTTCAAAAACAAACATTAAAATAAAGCATTGCAAATATTGTCCTCAATGAAATGCAGTTGCAAATTAACTAAATTCATTAAATGCAATTTCCAGCCTTTATCAAATAAACAAAGCTTGCTTAGCAAAGCTTTATTTTAAGATATAGTAGTCACCTTTCCTTATGCAACATGCCTATTTGAAAAAACTTGCATCTGCATACACTTGCCATGAAATGTTACTGGTTGTTGTTAAGAATTTATAGTTAGAAAAATTATGCCCAGATATTAATGGAAACTTCCAATCTAAACTTGTCATAATTGCACCTTTCCCATCAGTGGTTTGCAGGATGAGCACTGCTATTATAAATGTAGACAGAAGAATTTGTAACGGAAACACAAAAATAAATGTATGACATTAAAATGGGATCTGAATTTTGTATGGATTCTTTCTCCCCAGTTATCCCTGCCATCCTCTAACCTTGCTTCACCTGAAGATTATGATTGGGACTGGATCTGGGTTGGGAAAGTGGTGCAGAGGTAGATTCCCTACCCCTGGACCAGGAGACCTGGATTCAAGTCCAGAGGTGTGTAACAACACCTCTGACTAAGCCGATTAGGAAAATAATAGGTTCACCAGTGGGCAGTCCCTTGAAACTGGAGGCCTTTGAGCTCAGAAGGAGCATTAACCTCTAATTCATTTTTTTTTCAGAAAAATAGAAAGACTCCATCTTGAGTCATCTCTCTGCGACTTTTAGAAGTTTTAAATTTACATTTTTTTAAAAAAAAATCACATCAGTCACTAGCGTTCCACTACAGGTGAACAGGAAGGTGTGTACCTACAACAGTAATCAGGTAGATGGGGAATGCCTCAAAACCTGTCTGGAGAACTGTCACTGTATTCTGCCTCCAAGCTGCTGGTTTAGTTCCTGATGTTTGACAGGCTGACTCCTTTGAGAATAGACTTTAGTAAGTTACAAGTGCCTTTAACTGGTTATCCACTGTTTATGGACAGGTTAAATTTTTGATCCCACAGTGTGTCATGTGGTGCACTGGTAGCATCGCTACTTCTGAGTCAGCTGCCCCATGACATGTCTGAACAGGTTGATTAAAAAAAAAACATTTCTGACCCCATCCTTGTCTCCACAACATGGGCCAGAGTGAAGTGATGCCTGCACACTGGCTGCATTATGAAACTTCATGTCCGCTTGCCTCAAGCCAGTGGTTTTAATTCAGTGTGTGCAATTGCACTGCAATCAACTAATCCCTAATATAAATGCAACATAATGACTCCTCTTAATCAAACTTTTGTCCTGTCAAATATACTTCTTATATAGGTATTTCAAGAGTAACAATCTATTAAGCTGAAACTCAAAGAAGTTGCCATAATGCAAAACCCTAACTTTGCAATACATATGCAAAGTGGATAAGTGTCAGCCCATAGGGAAGGTGGTGGGGAAAAAAAAGTGTTGAGAAAATTTATTTCTACATTGATCATATGTTCTTTATTCCAGAAGTAGAATGCCATTCCTCTCAACCATTGCAACTGCATTGAACGGGAAGAAGAGTGAAGGCAAGAAAACGAACAAGAAGGTGCCTTACTGCCATGTGAGTCTCAAATTTTAAAAAGGTGCAGGAGAAAATATTTCAATATAAAAACATAAAATGTACTGACAGTTTACCTTGTGAAGGAGGAATCTGCAGTGGATTATTTAAGCAACTCGTTAAAGATTTTCTTATGTCTTCAATGAGACCGACCAAATGTGATGTTGGCTGTGGAAAGCAGAACAATTCAATAAGAGAGAAATTGCAAAGAACTTTTTTATAACCTAGGCCTTCAACTTTTTATTTTTAATTCCCAGCAATTATTTTACTATACCTTTCCTGAACCAAACTTAAACTTATATTTTTAATTCTCTCATTTAATATCAACATCCTAAGGGTTCCATTGACCAGAAACTGAACAAGGCCAGCCATATAGAAATACTGTGGCTACGAGAACAGGACAGAGGTAGGGAAGTCTTCAGTGAGTAACTCATCTCCTGTCTCCCCAGTGCCTGTATACCACCCACAAAGCACAAGTCAGCAGTGTGGTGGAATAGCATCCACTTCCCAGGTGATTGTAGCTCACCACAACACTGTAAAAGCTTGATGCCATCCAGGGCAAAGAAACCCATTTCAGAGGCTACCCATTCACAATCTTCAATCTTCATTTCCTTAGCAGTGTGTGCATCTACAAGATGAACTGCAGCAACTCACTAGACTAAAGCAACCGCACCTTTCAAACCTGTGCCATCTACCATCAAGAATAAAAACAGAAGTAGATGTATGGAAACACCATCACCTGCAACTCCATCTAAGCCACACACCAACATGACTTGGAATTTTATTACCACACCCTCATTGTCAAGATCCTCCCTCTTAACAGCATGTCCCCACACTCCAAGGATGGCAGTTGTTTAAGAAGGCAGTTCACCACCATCTTCGCCAGGGCAATCAGCAATGCACAATAAATTCTGGCCTAGCCAAGGAAGTCTACATCCCATGGTAGAATGATAAAATAGAAATAAATATACACTAGTACTACACTTACTTAATCTTCGTAATTAAATATTTATAAAATTATCATAAGTTTGATCCACAATTGATTTTCACTCTTGTATTCTATGTACTTGGAAAACTAATAACTAAACAAAGGAAGGAACTATCTGATTGTTATTACAAATTTGTAGTTCAATTGTAAATTACCTATTCTGTAGGCAAGAAGACAGTAACAGCTTTTTCTTTAATTTAATTCTAAAGCTATATATTTGCGCTAGCTGGCCTGCTTTCATTATTGTAACACAGGGAGATAACAAAACATGCATGTATAACTGAGAATTAATTTAAACCGTTGGAAGATTTAAAAAAAACTTCTTCAACCCAATTCCTAAGCTTAAAAATATTACAATAAATGAATTTTAGAAGTAATAAAATCTGATACACTATTTTAACACATATGCTTAAACTACCTTTGCACCACATTCTCAACACAATATTTATAACATTTACAATTGTCACTTTTACATAATTTGACATGGTTTGATCATTGAATAAGATATCTAATATGACCTTAACAAGTATCTTCTACCAATTATCCCGTTTAAACAGCACTAGGATAAGATATTCTACTCGAAACTTGGTAAATCAAACATGTTGCCAAGATTCAATAATTCATTTCCAAATATAATCATCAACTAACCCTCTTCATATCAAAATTAGTGTACAAATTGGCAAAGTGCAATTGAAACATTTTGAATCATCTTAACTTTTTTTTTCTGCATGAACAAAGTTTATAACATGTATTCTTACATATCTCCAGTTGTGTAAGTAACTTGAAGACACCAGGCCAGTGTTATCCATATGGATTCCAGGATTTTGACAGAGATTTGGTAGCTGCTTCACAAAACATTTTGGTGGGATCTGGGGATGTTCGTTATGCAACCAGATGCTAATGGGAACACTATAAATTTTGCCTGAATATGAACACATATGCACATTGTTAACAAAGTATACTTTGAACAAACTAATCCTTTTCAAGCTCCATGCTTAGATGGTGGTTTCTACATTTATCACTTCAGCATTAAACACAAAAGATTATTTTAAAATTTTCATAAATCTTTCTCTCCTTCCTTCTTGCTTATTCAAGGTGATTCATTAATTTGGCCCATATACAGACAACAAAAGATCACATTTGGGCATTTCATAGACTGCAGTTCAATGGTGATTGAAATTAGGTCTTACAATGGGTTAGAAATTAATTTTTCAACAATGTTTTGATTGTAGGTTGTTATGGAGAAGTCTTCAAAGGCTGATGAGTGCATGACATTTCACAATTTGACTTATTAAACTCTTTTAGAGTCTCTTGACGTATTTTCTCATGTTAAATGCAGTACAAAAATGCAAGTTTGCCTACAGCTTTAGTCGTCTGAAAATCCTTGATTCTGTCTGATCTCAAAAGCTACACTGGCCTAGTTAGTACTTGAATAGGAGACCACCAGGGAAACCAGGTGAAGTAGGAATGGGGTGTGGTGTACAGCAATATTGTCTCTACCTCTGAGCCAGAAGGCCTGGGTTCAAGTCCTGCCTGCTCAACAGGTGTGTCATAACACATCTGAATGGATTAATTCAAAATATCTATAAATGTAAGTTTTCCTGGCTTTTCAATGAGTTTAGAATATCTTCATACAATTTCTAGTAACCTGGAACCACAACCGTAGCATGTTGAAATAGACCTCATCTACATACCACTACGTAGCAAAACCAGAAACAGAACTAACCACCACAACAGACTGGACCATATACATTCAGAATGGAACAGCACAGCAGCACTTCAATGGAGGCTAGACAGCATTGAAGATGTGGGATAAAACGTTTGCATGAAAACCAGTCAGCTCAGCGAACCAACCAACAACTCCATTCTAGTACTCCCTCACCCACCCAACAGTCCCTCCACCCCTCCTACAATAAGAGTCAACAACCATCCCCTTGAAAATGTGGATCATGTCCCATACCTCAGCAGCTTTCTCTCCTTCAAAGCCAACACTGATGCAGAAATATACAATCTGAGCTATGCCTGTGCAGCCTAGCTCCACTCAAGAGAAGGGTGTTTGAAGACCATGACTTACAGGCCCAGACTAAACTTCTGGTCTACAAAGCCGTTGTCCTTTCAACACTGCTATATGGAACTGAAACGTGGACTACCTACAGTAGGCACCTTAAAGCACTGGAACAACACCGCCAGAGATCCCTATGAAAAATCCTGCAGATCACCTGGGAAGACAAGCGAACTAACGCCAGCATCTTGGAGGAGGTCAACATAGCCAGCATCCCAACACCATAATTCAACAGCAACTCAAATGGACCGGCCATGTCATCCGAATGCCCAACTCACGCCTCCCAAAACAGATCATGCTAAAGGAAGGTTAATGTGTCCCTAGTGGCCTCAAGATATGCTTCAAAGATAACATCTGGAAAACATTATGAGGAGCGAATACAGTAGATTCAATACAGTATAGTCAATATTATGTTTGATCCTCACACTAAATACACCAATACAAAAGAAATATAGGAATCGTTACTAAGTATCAGCTTCCTGTGATCTCCCTGTACAGTGTTAAGAAGTGTGTCATCAAATACACATCTAAAGAGTGGTGTTTATAGATTACTTCATGCAGAGCTTCCTCTTCAGCAGATTCTGAATCTTAAATAATTTTAAAGCAGATATAGACAGATTCTTGATTACCAATGGGACGAATGATTACTGGGAATATGCAGGAATGACGTTAATATCAGGTCAGCCATGATCTTATTGAATGGTGGCATAGGTTTGAAGGGCCTTTGTTCCTCCTGTGTATATTTGTATGAGCTGGAGAAATTCTCCACCATCATAATTACTACCAAATATAATGGTGCCAGAGGGAGACTTCTGAGAAAGTACTGAGTAAGTTCTAGCTGGAATAACTTCCTTTTCCTTAAGAACCAATGGGTTAAATATTAATTTGTTATTCTTGTATCAGTAAATGCTCTAAAATAATTGATTTTGAAGAATTTTCCTCCCATCAAACTTTGCAGCCCCTCACCCACAACGCTGCTCAGTGGGAAGGTTAGAATTTAAACCACAAATTTTTCCATAGGTATTATTATGCCTCAAAAGGAGGTACAGTCCAGTTCAGCTGAAGATAAAATTATCCAGATTTTCAGCAGTGTTTCTGAGAAAACGTTTTAAAAGATGGGAAAAAGCTTCTCCACCAATTGCATTGAACTGTTCATCCAAACTGCCAATTTAATATAGATCTAAAACATTAACAGAGCTGCTAGACTATATTCTTACCTCCGCATGGCACAGGAATACTGCCATTCAAATTAACAAGCTCATTTTTAGCTCCATTTCCACAACCTGAAAGAAAAAGGCAAAAACAAAATCATAAAATGGATTAAATAAATATTTTTTATCTAAAATGATTTGGTTCAGTTACTGTCAACAGGGCTGGATTTTATCACTAAGAATACGCAGCATGGAATAAGGGGTCAAAATTTACAAAAATCTCCAATCTAAACCATCTCAAAATCACCCACTCCCAGGCTTATTGGAGGTGTGAAATAAAGGCAGCCAGTGAGAATATATCCAGGAGACAGACTGGCAATTTAAATACGTTAATAGGACTGGTAATGTTCAATTTAACCTGCTTTATAGTTTAGATGTTTTTAGACAAAGTGTTGAAACATGTTATGACACACTTCTGGATCAGGTGGGACATGACCCTGGGTCTTCTGGTCTAGAGGTAGGGCATTACTAGTGTACCACAACAGCCCTTGTGTTTTGCTATTTAATTTCAGCCTTATTAGTTTGCCAGACCTTAGATGTGGACTCGCTGAAGAGATACGAGAATAGCTTTGGGAAGAAGGTAATTGTATTTACATTACTGTATGTGGGCAAGGAATAGACATGAGATAGTAGGAACTGCAGATGCTGGAGAATCCGAGACAACAAGGTGCAGGGCTGGATGAACACAGCAGGCCAAGCAGCATCATAGGAGCAGAGAGGCTGACGTTTCGGGCCTAGACCCTTCATCAGAAAAGGGGGAGGGGAAGGGGGTTTTGAAATAAATAGGGAGAGAGTGGGAGGCGGATAGAAGAGGGATAGAGGAGAGGATAGGTGGAGAGGAAACAAACAGGTCGAAGAGGCGGGGATGGGGCCAGGAAAGGTGAGTGTAGGTAGGGAGTTAGGAAGGGGATAGGTCAGTCCAGGGAGGACGGACAGGTCAAGGGGGCGGGATGAGGTTGGTCGGTAGGAGATGGAGGTGCGGCTTGAGGTGGGAGGAGGGGATAGGTGGGAGGAAGAACAGGTTAGGGAGGCAGGGACGAGCTGGACTGGTTTTGGGATGCGGTAGGGGGAGGGGAGATTTTGAAACTTGTGAAATCCACATTGATACCATTGGGCTGCAGGGTTCCCAAGCGGAATATGAGTTGCTGTTCCTGCAACCTTCGGGTGGCATCGTTGTGGCACTGCAGGAGGCCCAGGATGGACATGTCATCTGAGGAATGGGAGGGGGAGTTGAAATGGTTCGCGACTGGGAGGTGCAGTTGTTT